GTTCACCACCTATTGGACGTTCACCATCTGTGAGCAATGTTACTCAATCATCAATGATGCAACCTGGTGCGGCGCAACCTGGTGTACAACAAATGCAGCCAATAATAATAATAATAATAGTAGTAAAGAAGCGCAATAAATAAATCGATGAACAAAAAAGGAATGTTTTTTTAAATAATAGTATCATTTAATGAGAGAAAAGAAAAAGGTATGTAAAAGGAAGTTGAAATGAAATACTTTTATTTCTCTAAAAAAAGATGAATGAAATTGTTTTTCCCTTTATTCTCTTAGAAACAATCGTTAACATTTAATACAATCCTAAAATTCGATAATTTGAGAAGATGAAGGAAAAAATAAAGGGAATGTATTTAAGGCCTAATTATACTATAATAGAAAAAAAATAAAAGGAATGTATTTAAGGCCTGATTATACTATACTTCCTTTTCTCTCTCTCCCCTCTCTCTCTCTCTCCCAATTTCATGTTTTAAACTCATTTCTTTTTTTATTATAAAGGATGGGAATAGCATATTGGAGGAGAATATTCGTCCTCGCAACAAATTATAACAAAATCGTTGTTATTGCCAGTTGTTGTTGTTGTTGTTGTTGTTGATGGCGGTGTTAGTGGGTGACGACAATAAAATGATAGAATAGTTCTTTCCACCTCATATCATTATCCATCATATCATTATGCATAAAATGGAAGATATCATTGTTCCTTTTTTTCTTCAGAAAAAAATATATTAATTTGAATACTTTTTAAGAATGACTTTTTTTGAATCATTTAGAAGAAATCAATAAATTCCAGTTTTGAATCTTTTTTTGGTTTAACATTTTATGGATAATGAGATGATATGAATGAAATAAATGGATAAATGCTATTTCTATTTGTCATCAAAGGAACTGAACTCATTTAACTAATGCATTTCCAATTATTATGAGGGGTATGAATCGAAATGAGAATAATATATAATATATTATGAATATTTCATATAATAATATATCATAAATATATCTAACATAAAGATTGATTTTAAAAAGCATTGAAAAAATTATGCATTATTAATGAATTAAATTTTAATTAAATATAAAATAGAATTTCATCCATATAATTTTATTATTAGTAAGCACTCGAAATAATCGATCGATCATTTCCAATTCCAATTTTATAATGATTATTTGTTATTTTATAATTTAAAAAGAATTGAGAATAAAATTGAAAAGAAATTAATATGATATAAATAAAGTGACATTGATAAAATGTGAATCAGAGAGCCTAAAATTTGATTATAATTATTGAATTACATTATATTACTATTTATGATATTTTTTAATTATTAAAAGATATTAACGTTAATGAATGAAATATATTTTGTATGAGATTAACTTTATCATTTTAAGCCTTTTATTATACTAACGATTGGTAGGAAGCCTATAGTTCGTATTCTTTTTTTGATAAATTATACTTTAAAATTAATTAAGATATAATTCTTATGCTCTAAGCCTATGGTTCATATTCCTACATATTTTTTTAGTAAATTATACTTTAAAATTAATTAAGAGATAATTAATTAAGAGACAATACTCTGATATTTCTTCTAATATGATGGTGAAAAATTGATTGAGCAATTTCGAAAATACGGAATATTTATAAGTTTGTAATTTTGTCTAAGAAAAAAGAGAGAGAGAAAAGTGGTATATTTTACGATATTTTATAAAATTGATCACAACTTTATAAATTTAATAGTCTGATAGCTGGCAAGAAGAAGAGAAAAAGAAAGGCGCAAAAAGTATAGAGAAGTTTGATGAATGCGCTAAACCATTGTTGAAGAGGATACAGAAATTTACCAAAATGATTGATGAATTGATACGTTGCCGCTTCGTTTCATCACGATGAGAATGACGAAATGACAGAGGCGAATAACGCAACACATATATTATTGTTTAACCATTTATAATTTAACTTTTTAAATTTTATTTAATTATTATAAATAATTAAAGATTTATTGTTTAATTTTATATTTTCCAATTTTTAACATTTCATTTTATACTTTAATTAATATTCTAACAAAGAAAGAAAGAATTTAAAAATATTAAAATGAATAAATTTTTCTTAAGTATACAATAGAAATTATCTCATCTAAGATTAGATTAAAATTTAGTTAAATTATTATGATGGATGGATGGATGGATAATTAATAGTTGTGGATATGATTGATGGATAGATGGATGGATGGATGGATAATAGTTGTGGATAATAATCTTTTCTTCTCCTTTCTCTCTCTCTCTCTCTCTCTCTCTCAATTTTTTTCTCCAAAAAAATCAAAATACTTTATGAATGCAAAAAAGGAAAAGAAACTAATGCTTAGAAATGAAATAATTACTCTTTGATAACTTGAATTAGAGTAAATGAATATGTCAAGTAATCAATTAGAATTAGATTTTTAACCTAAATGATCATTGTCTTGAATAGTTGAATGAAATATTTGAATTTATTTATATTTCAATATTTCAGTTTAATATCTCGAATATTGTAAAAGTGAATAATTGTAATTGAATGATATATTATAGTGTAGCCTAAATTTTCATTAAATTATTTACTTTGTTATTTCATTTGGCTTCATTAAGTATCATATGGATGAAATAAATCTGTAAGTATATTCTCTTTCATACATTAGTTTAAACATTTATAGTGCAAAAAAAGATTATAAAAAAGAAAACATCTCAGTTTCCCACTAAAAAAATCTTAGCTTGTAAAATGTTTTTGGCTCATAAAAAATCTTGGCTCTTTCTTTACTTGCACAGAACTTGAAAGAAAGGAACATACGTATTTGCAAATGGATCCTTTCTCAAATTCTTTGCATTAGATAAGAGATTTCATAGCGATCCATTATATAAGACACTGTGAATCGCGGTATATTCTGACCATATGTTGTACAGGATATTTCGTTGATTTTTTTGTTGGGTTGTTTCCAGACAAGTTCACTTCCTTTAGGATTTATCTATCCACAAATTAGAAAAATTGTCGAACAGTTCTTTTTTTTAAACTCATACTACTGCATTTTAGATGAAAGCATTAACGTGTGATGAAATACGTGCCGCCTTTATTAATTTCTTCAAGGATCGTGAACATACGTACGTACACTCATCATCGGTCATCCCATTCGATGATCCAACGCTACTGTTTGCCAATGCTGGCATGAATCAAGTGGCTACTTTTTATAAGTGATAAGAGATACAATTTTAAGTATTTATAAGTGATAAGAGATACAATTCCCAGTAATTAATTGCCAGACGAAGCTATTCATCTAATTTGATGCAAAAATATAGCTCAAAAATTTTTCACGAACTTTATAAAAGATATTAGCAACATTGAGATTTTGAGACGATTTTTTCTTAGATAATTATTTTAATAAACAGAACCGCCTCTAAGCATAATGCAATAGTATATCACATCTTGATAAAGCAAAGAAATCGATGTTTAACTTGAGTGGTCAAAAATAATTCTTGAAGTATTAATAGAGATTAAAATGTAGAACTTAGTAAGTTAAGCTGGGCTTGGAAATTGCATATTGGAATAACTCGAAAACACTGCAAAATTGTAAAATTTTATAACTAAAATAACACTGTAAAATGTAATACTGTAAAACTTTTTTTACTTAAATAGAAAAAGTGCGATTTTAGTACAAGCCCATATTTTTGGGCACGGTGGAACCATCGAGTGAAATGGCGAAGCTCAAGCGAGCGGTAAATACTCAGAAATGTATTCGAGCTGGTGGTAAGCATAACGATTTGGATGATGTTGGCAAAGATGTCTATCATCACACATTTTTTGAGATGCTTGGAAACTGGTCATTTGGGGATTATTTTAAGGTTTATCCAGAAATTGATTTAGCAAAATTATTCGAAATGTGTTGTCTAGTTAAAGTTATAAAAATTTTCATTCCTATACATAGTTATGAGTGTTTTTATTGATATTATTTTTGAGTTGGAAGTATGCAATTGGGCATGGGAACTGCTGACCAAAGTGTTCGGAATACCTGGAGAACGCTTATATGTCTCTTACTTCGGTGGCGATGAGAAGAATGGCCTTACTGCTGATGAAGAATGTCGACAGATATGGCTGAATATCGGGTAGTTAACTTTTATATGTCTGAATTATTTCATTATTAGTACATCATCTAAATTAAGATTTCGGTTCTAATCTTATTACAAACTGATTAAAATAGCTGCTGTAAGGTATGCTTTTCCCATAGTCGGTTTATTTTTGTAATTTATATTCATTTATCTCAATTTTCGGTAGCAAATTCTTGGAAATCCAAGAATTTTTAGAGTTCAGCCGTCACATATTTTATCATTCGGAATGAAGGACAATTTTTGGGAGATGGGTGATGTTGGACCGTGTGGACCGTGTTCGGAAATACATTATGATCGTATAGGTAACAGAGATGCTTCACATTTAGTGAACGCTGATGATCCAACAGTTGTTGAAATATGGAATCTTGTTTTCATGCAGTTCAACAGGTAAATTAAGGACGTTGATTCAGTTTTTAAGAGCATCAGTAAAAAATCGGAAAACGTCATTCTGAAATTGCTACGATTTTAGGGAAGAAGACGGTTCATTAAAACAATTACCACGCAAACATATTGATTGTGGTTTAGGTTTCGAAAGGCTCGTTGCTGTTTTGCAAAATAAATTATCAAATTATGACACAGATATCTTCACACCTCTCTTCAATGCTATATGTAATGTAAGTTTCAATAGTATGTAATTTGAAAGTTATTATTGGTAGTTGTTGTGATAAGTGCCTTTCTTATTCTGATAATGCATATCATCTAAAGATGCCACTGCTTTAGTTTTGCTGTATGAGTGAATTCATTATAGCCATTAGATTCAATATGAAAAGTGTAATATCATTATCAAATTGAAGCTCATCTTTACTTTATGCGAGGCTTTCAAATTTTCGATCAGTTTTTTGGCATTTGAAAGAGTAATTTCATAACAATTTCAAAATCTTTTATAAAAGATTTCTCTGTAGGGTACAAAAGTACGCCCTTATAGCGGCAAAGTAGATGCTGATGATGTCGATGGCATTGATATGGCTTATCGAGTAGTTGCTGATCATATTCGTACTATTTCCATCGCTTTATCTGATGGCGGACGACCAGATAATACCGGCCGTGGGTTCGTATGTCATCATTTTGTAAAAGTGCAACATGCTGCACTCTTTTCTTCAAAATATTGAACACTGATTTATTTACTTTCAAGTGTTATGATTTAGTCTCATCTACAGTTTCGTTTCATTTCGTTCCATAAAGTTTTACTTTTATTTACAGATATGTTTTGCGACGTATTCTACGTCGTAGCATACGTTATGCTAATGAAAAATTATCTGCTCCGCCAGGTTTTTTATCCTCGTTGGTGCCGACCGTTGTAAATTTACTTGTAAGTGTTAATTTCTTTTCTAAGTTTGCTTATTGGAATTTATCTTCTCAATTATGAGGGAATTCTTTTAGGGGAAAACATTTCCGGAGTTACACAAAGACCCACTAACCGTTATCGACATCATCAATGATGAAGAGAAACAGTTTTTGAAAACGCTTAGCAGAGGGCGCACGCTGTTTCAGAAAGTAGTTGCTGGTCTTCAAGGATGCAATATTCTGCCTGGTTGGATCAATTCCTTTGTTTTGCAGATTTACTTTGTATCGTTTCTTTAAGCAGTATACTGTTATTTTTAGGTGATGTTGCATGGCGCCTATACGATACATATGGATTTCCATTAGATTTAACTCAACTTATGGCTGAAGAAAGAGGTCTTGTAGTCGACCTGGAAGTATTCGAAAAATGCAGACAGGAAGCCGCTGTGAGCTGTTTTTTTAAAACATAATTGCATTTAAACCATTTTCGATATTTATGAAATATTTAATACAAAATTTAGTAAAAACTCAATAAAGTTTTAGGGAATATCGGCTGCTCATGCCAATAAAATGCGTGATACAATTGATTTGGATGTTAATGCTATTTCGGAACTAAAAAACAAAAAGATTCCAACAACGGATGACTCACTGAAGTACAAATATCATGCTTTGCCTCCCGAAGATCAGCAAACGATGTACAGTAAGTTTACAAAAAAATTTGGGGGACCGGAAAAAAAAATTCAACGTTGTTGCTATCATGACTTTACAACATAGTTTTTAGGTTTCGAGAAATGTGAGGGCGTGATTGTTGCCTTGCGAAAGGATAAGATATTTGTGGACACTTTGCATCCGGGTGATTTTGGTGCATTAATTCTTGACAGAACTAATTTTTATGCTGAACAAGGTGGACAGATATTTGATACAGGTGTTCTCACGAAAGCCGATGAGGTTGTTTTATTTACAAAGATTTTTCAGTAATTATTCGAAGTTGCAAGAAATAGATTCCTATTTGCTTAAGTAATTGTGATATTAATTTCTTTTAAATCATAAATTGTGTGCTTCAACTTTTAAAATACTGCAGGGAAGTGAATTTATTGTAAGCAACGTCCAGATCCGCGGTGGATATGTCGTGCTTGTAGGCACTGTAGAAGGGGAATTATCTGTGGGCGATAAAGTAATTCAAACAATCGATGAGGTATAATTGCAATTGAGTCATAAGTCTTTCAAATGTTGCGAAATGAAGGAATTCTAATATCAGAAAAAAAAGCAACATTTGGGTGTTCATTATTTGTTAATGTTGGCTCTGTGGCACATGTTTTTTCTTTTGTGGGAAAAATAAAATTCTGAAATTTCAAACAGATAAAAAGTTGAGAGAAGAAATGAGAAGGGAGGAGAAAGGATGAAGAAAGAGGGCGAAAATTCGAAACTGGTAATGCTTGATAGTTTTACATTAAATTTTCAAGTTTCGAAAATTTTTCGCTTATAGGAACGTCGTAATCTAACAATGAAGAATCATACCGGAACCCATGTTCTTAATTTTGCCTTGAGAAAAGTCGTTGGTGAAATTGAACAAAAGGGTTCATTGGTTGCTCCAGACAGGCTTCGATTCGATTTAACATCCAAGCAACCTCTAACTCATGAGCAGGTTATTTTCACATCCGAAAAAATGTGCAGAGATTTTATGGAAGAAATTTTGGGCGAATTTCATAAAGTAGTTTCACATTTAATCTAAGATAAAATGATCTAAGATAATATTTAATTTTAATCTAAGATAATATTTTTAAGTTTAATCTAAGAATATTTTAATCTAAGATAGTATTTTTAAGATAATATTTTTTTTTTCTTTAATAACATTTAATCTAAGATAATATTTTTAAGATAAAAATGGTGGAAGACGAATCGCAAAGGTTAATTGATACGAATGCGACAGTGTTTGCCGAAAATGCTCCGCTAACGGAAGCTCGGCAAATCAATGGATTACGAGCAGTTTTCGAAGAGGTAAAGAAAATTGATTAATAATTATTCATTGCCAAATTCCATATATCACCTGGATTAATCAAACCTTTTTTTCCATTTAATGGGTGTTTTTTGAGTGACATTTTTTTGTTGTGCTTGAAGAGGTATTTTTCGACTTGTTATGTGGCCCATGTTTAAAAATTAATGTGAAGAAAGACGACTTATATATTCATATCAAGAGCGTTTATTATGCCGTAATTTCAGGCTTATCCGGATCCAGTGAGAATAGTGAGTGTTGGAGTGCCTATCGAAAAACTTTTAAAAAACAAGGATAGCGATTTAGCTCTCAACACTTCTGTTGAATTCTGTGGTGGCACGTACGCCTTTCTATTGTGGTTATAAAGTTCTCTTAAATGACTCATATATTGACTTAATTGTTGCAAACCTATGGAAAACTTTAAATTTATTTGCTTATTTTCAATTAGCAGTAGATTCTCTAGAGACAGAAGAAACTTGAATTACTCTATTGATCATTAAAAACCTTTTATTCAGACATTTACATAATGTTGGCGATATTGGCAAACTAGTAATTACTGTGGAAGAGGCTGTTGCGAAAGGCATTCGACGAGTTATCGCACTTACGGGACCGGAAGCTTCGCGGGCGATACAACGCGCTGATCGTCTGGAACAACGAGTGTTAGAAGCACATAATGAAATAACGACTGACCACACTATAACTCGGGATAAAACACAATTCAAAGCTGCAATCAAAAGAATTCTTGAATTGATTGAAGTTTGGCTTCATATTCTTTAGAAAAATGTTGCCTGAAGAGTGTTTTTAGAATCAAATAGTTTTAATCTTTTAAGGAAGTTAATCAGTCACAGTTACCCTACTGCCGTAAAGAGAACATTCGAGAAAAAGCGAAAGCACTGCAGAAATTGTTGGATATGCATAATCGTGAAGCTAAAGCAGCAATTGCTGATAAGGTTTGAAAAACTTCGTTTTTAAATTATCGCATTTTGATGGAATTTTAAAAATTAAAATGCTAGTTTTAACGGTATTTTATCAAAATTAGTTTCAGATACAACGTGAAGCTAGTGAACTGGATGCTTTATTAAACGATGATACTCTATTCACTGTTCATATTTTCAGTAAAGGTGCTAATGGAAAAGTAAGTGCTACGTGTACGTGCACTTTTTCCCTGAAAATTGGAAATATATTCCATCTCTGTAATCGAGCTCAATCCTTTATGTTATTCTCTCGATAAATTAGTTTAAGACATTCCAATTTCTGAAAATTTTCAGATGTTAGATGGTGTTTTAAAATCGATGAAGAAATCTCATGCTGTTATGGGATTTTCGGTCAACGATGATATTGGCAAAGTGGTTGTTGCAGCACGAGTTTCGAAGGTTAGCGTTGTTATATAAAATTCCCCATCAATGTTTTTGATTATTCACTTTAACAGTGTTTTTATAATTTTATTTTATGCTTAAGATTTTTATAGGATATTGTAAACAAAGGACTGCAAGCGTCGGAATGGATTTCGAAAGTGTGCAAGGTCCTAGATGGTCGAGGAGGTGGTACAGTAACGCAAGCACAAGCTACAGGGAACAATACTGAATTAGTAGAGGAAGCTGCTCAAATCGCTTTGGAGTTTGCAAAAGTTATACTTTCTTGATTTCTTATTTTGATTAAAATGAATTAATTCCTTGCAGACACTTTTTGAATGGTCCAGTAATTCTACTGCCTGGCGGAATTTTCAAAAATTCCAAGATGAGTCAGTAATCTCACTTTATTTAGATCATCAGGTTATGATGTCATTGAAATGTATGATTTGACTTTTTGAATTTATAGGTGTATCTTTTTCTTTTCTTTATATGTGAAAATTTTTCTCGAAAATTAGATTTCTATTTTCATTTGCTGAAAACTTGTGGGTTGCAGAATTCTTCACCGTAATGTAATATATTATAAAAATTTGAATTCTCATTTCTATTCTTGTAATGAAATATGCGGTAAACGTTTACAGAATGCTTCACTTCTATTGCAGATTTAGTGTCATAAAGTGCAACTCCACCAGCACCTCAAATTTCGAAGTTTAAATAACTATTTTGTGGACGCATTTGCTGTTACATAGACAGAACGCAGAGTCTGGGATCTTTTAGCTGCATCAAGTACTTGTTGCTTGCTATTTCCTTTTACAGTATTATAGACCTGTTGCATGTTCGCGATTCGCGTTAGTCCTTCAGACGGTGTTTCCTCTAACCTTGTTTAATTTGTGGAAAGAATTTAAGACTGCTTTAAGCATCTATTTTAATGTTATAATGTTTGCCTCAAAGACTTCAAAAAAAAAATATCAAGACTGCTCACTCTCTATAAAGAAAAACTTCTACGAAATAGCTGAAGAAATCCAAGACATTCACTTCTCTCTCCTTTCCTGCCAAAATTTTTACTCGTTCCCTCGTAAAACATCTAGTTAGTACGCACAACTTCTAGTGTACCTGATAATGTACCATTACATATGCCAAATTATTTATTCAAAAAAAGAATGCAGCAATTGATAAAAGTTATAGAAAGAAATCGCATTTAATTCTCCTGCTTTTTTTCTTTAAAAACATTTAACAACAAAAACGAAAAAATTTGGATTGCTCCATGGGATGCATGCAAAAAAACGAGATGTATGGTACACAAGAACAACATTATCTGGATATTTGGATAACATAAATAAATGAAAGCTATGGAGTTGAGATATTTCAGCATGGCAATTGTTGAGAAGTAGGGACGACCCATTTCATTTCTATCGGGAAAATTTTAAATTTTCTCACTGTTTAAACTTTATAGAAGATATCGGTTAGATAATCGAATGAAGTAAATACGGAACACTAATAAGCTCGATGTGCAGGTAAATATATAAGTAGTAATAAGTAGGTGAAGCAATACAGAGTGACAGTTAAGTCAACTTATACATACTTATGTCCACCGTGTGAAAAATGATGAGGATGAAGAAAAAAAGCAAATTAAATATAAAACCACACAAAAGTGATCTATTATTTATTGCACAGAAACAACAATGAAAGTAATAAATGGTCATCAAACGACGTCTTCAAACTCATCCTCTTCTTCATCATCTTCATCACTAAAATAAATCCGATTCCCAAAAACTCCGGAAGAGCCCGGAAATCGCTGCAATCCATGTAAACTGGGCTGAAATGTTCATGAAACTAACTAGTTCAAGGAACGAATGCAGGCAATACTGAAAATAATCCGGCAGACTATCTATTTATTTAGCTGTCAGTCACAATTTCAAAAGATACACCTCATTCTGAAATTGACTTTGTAGTAAGTTTTAGTTTGCAAAATTTCAACTGTCAATACAGACAAGGAGAAACATAAGGATGGAATCATACGACCAATATAAATCCAGCTTATCTAAATTGTTCTCTTCAGAAATTTTCCCAATTATATATAAATGATAACCTGTATAGCATGAATTCTTTTGTTAGTATTACTAGACGCCCCATGTTTCCTCTTACGTGAAGGCTTCGAAATTGTGGAATTACGCAAGCGCAAAGCGCATCGAAATTCCTTGACAATTGGATAAATCACTTCAATTGCTTTCATTACATCACTTTCCGATACAGCTGAAAATATTAAAAAACCAGATAAATCTGAAGTCATTTTCCAATTATTCTTTAGATTTTATAACGTTTAACAAATTCGACGTTTGAAAACTTGCCGCCGGTAACTGTAATGCTGCCTGTCGTATGAATTCGAAGTGTGGCTCGAGGATTTGTAGAACGCCATACGAGGCCAACTGATAATTCCGGTTCATACTGAGAGCGGTCTGGATATTTTTGCGCTAGCTAAAAAGAATTCGTCAGAGAAGGATTTTCATACACAATTTTGTCAGACAAACAAAAAATCAAATTACTTCTTCAATTTTCACACCAAAAGGCATTTTGCAAGTTGCAAGAACGTTACAAACGCGATAATTCCGAATTCGTACAACGTCCATCATCCTGCCCATGCTTTTTTGGACCATGCGCCCAACACCTCTGGCAGCACGCTTGCATTCGCTTTCACTACAACATTTAACAATTTTAACTATGAGCAAATTTAGAAACGAAAATGAGATTTTATTTTATCGGAGGAAAATGATTCACAAGGTTTACAAAGCTTTTAAATTAAATATACCTACGACACCCGACAATATAAATTTTTCCAGAGCTGTATATTTTGACATAACACGAAGGGTTCCTCTTCTGCTTCAACAAGACCTAAAGTTACGTAATTATAAAACTAAACATAAGGTAGCAATATGAAAAATCAAAATATCTGATGTTTGGTTTTTCATACAAAATTTAATCAAAAGTGAAACATTTTTTAAAATATGTTAACTGCTTGTGATAAGCGGAAGCTAAGTACAAAATCAAGCATGCAATTTCAAATTACACACAAAATCAAGATATTTTAAATCGCAGCCTCATCAACATTGAGCTGTAAATAAACCATATAACATAAAACAAAAAATTTACGTCAACAATCATTTTGAAAGGTTGAAAAACATAATTCGAAGTACTTACTCCTCGACCTCGATCAAATGCGACATTGCCTGAACTTAAAGCTACGCGATGCAAGTCAATATGCAGTGGAAGTGTATAATTACAAACAACGTTCCGGATCTAAAATTACTCAAGATACTGCTCAAAAGACAAGCCACAAACACTAATATTATCATTTTCAAACGACACGAAAAAGTTACTTGGATATCAATTTCTCCATCTCCACCTGAATCATATCGGTCAATAATTCCGGAGCTTGTTGATGGTGGAGCTTTCTCTATCTGCTCCTCATATCCCATCTTTCCACTGGTCTGCAACATACGCTAGGCGTGCAAAATTTTAACAAATATCAGATATATAAGGCCATGAAACATGAACACTTCCATTTTCAAAACTAAAAAACAAAAATCTACAGTATTCACAATCGATTCCAAGGGCTCTTCATGTACAGGAACATCGAGATGAAGCGAATCAGTCTGAGACTGAGAAAACTCCGATACGGCTGAATGCTGCAAACCAGAAGTTTCCAAAAGACTACTTCTAGTCGAAATTGAATGTTGTGAACTAAATTTTTCCAAAAAATTGTTTGTCGTATTGGAATGCCATATCGAACCCTGAAGAAGTGTAAGTTACAGTCAAAATTATGTTAGTACTTTACATTTACTGAAACAGCGACACAACTCATTCCTCACTGGATTACAGAGAGACCGCTTCTCCAATGAATATCTCATCCAACTTTGAATGTAACATAAAACTGGCTAGAATCTTCGTTAATAACAAATCGCTAAAGTTTTATCATTCATTAAATTCCATATTTCGAAATTCATTGAGTACAAGAACAGTTATAAAAACAACGAAATTGTTTGGTTTGTGACGATTCAGTCGAAGACGTCTTCAACGACAAGTAAAGGCTGTTTACAGTGCAAACACAATGACAACTGATTAAAGTAAGGGAATGAATATGAGTAACTACTTCATTAACTCTCTAATTCACCACTAAAACAAATTCAAAATTTTCTGTTACCATCAAATATTAAATGCTAATAAGAAATATAAGTCATTTTTCGACGAGTGATTCATGACAATGACAACCTTATTAACAAATTGTGGCTTAAAAAATGAAATTTTAAAACTTCTGCAGAAGCATTTGGTGAAAGCATGTAAACAATCCATCAATTTTTAGCAAAATTTGTGCAATAACCTTCGTAGTTGCATTGGTAGTGACGGAAGTGCCATTATGAGCATAACTCCCGTGATCATTCTGACAAGCAGATATGCTCATTTTTTCTTCTCAGCGATCATTAAAATCGCATTCGATGAATTGCAAACAAACAAATACTGAACATCCACTGATCAAAATTCATCACCACCTATAATTAATTTAGGATATTGAAGTATATAAGAAAAAAATAAAGACGTCACTACTAAAACGTACATAGTAAGCTATCTAATTCAAATGTGAAAAACTTTTCCGCTCCTTTTTTCCCAACAAGCCATATCTTTTCATGGAAGACATACCTCTGCCAGAACGCCTAGATAACAAGTTAGCTGGAACAGTCTATCTCCTACGATGACAACACAACTGTCAAGAGGGAAACATTAGAATGTCACCAAGACATTTACTTTGTCATGTCATCTATAAGTGCATTGTTTTCTTTTCTACTTGGAAATGTTCATTTTCTTTAGCACTAATTAGTATCTTGCAAATACTGAAATGATCATTGTTAGTTATGCTGCCACCAAGGTGACTCCCTATGCAACTTTCATATAATTTCGCACGTCAAGAGCACTGATCTACTATTATAGCCATCTAGACAAACATTGCTGGTTATCTCCGTACCGGAATGCCCATCAGCGAAGCTACAACTTCCATTCGCCGTACACCTGCATATAGACCCGCAAGTTACAGTAATCCGTAGAATGGAAGACAAGTCTTCTTTTCGAGACTGCACTTTTTATTACTATTCGAATTGAATATGACAGGCCATTTCCGCTGATTTATATATTTGAACAGTGGAAAGTGAAATAAAAGAGGCTAAATTAATGTATTCCACCTGCCTCATCTTGTCCTATTTTATCACCATTAGTAATTTTAAAATCTACAGCTATGCAGTATCAAAATTACATGAAACTCGAAACAACCTAAATCTTATGCGATGCATTATTAATTTCCGACTACTTTCTGCAATTCGCATTGTCTCCTATCAATATCCATCACTTCTAGCATCCATCTATACAAATTTGAGATTGATCGAAGTAATAGTTGCTGTGATATTATTTAGCGATAACATCGGGCTAAAGGCTCCAACTCACGTCTCATATAACATATAATGAAGTAATTCAATACACTATGTATCGATTATTTTGAGATTAATTTGGATTGTATAACTTACGTCTCAACTTACGTGCACTATCATTTCATATAAACTTTATAGTGCAGAAAATACTTAGAGAACTACTCTAAAAGCCTCCAAGAGCCCATTAAATGCCAGGAATTAGAAAGTACCAAGAGGTGCATAAATCATCACACATAAAAATAAGACAAACTTACAAGAAAACGAGAATTTTCACTGCGGACAGTCAGAGTAGCAAACAAACATGAACTGAATGAATTGTGGTCGGTCGAGACATCATGAAAATGATGTGTCTTTTATATACAGCAATTCAATGAAATACACGAGTGTAATGTTCACTATACCTCCAGCAAATTTGTATCAGAGATAGGTGGACTTATGGAAAGAATTGATGGGAAATTTTTTCAGTTAAGTTTTCTTCTGTACCCGAAATATGCTCTATCACCGTTAATGTAGTCAAATCATGAGAATAAATATGGCTAGTTATAGATTAGAGGAGTGACTGGGAAGTTTAGAACTGTATCTACCGTCACTATTTTGATCCTTTTCCTAGTCCTTTCTTAGCAGTTGCAACACTTTCCACCTTTTTCAGTATTCCATTCTTTCTAATTTATTATTTAAAATTTGTCCAAGATGTATTCTGTTATGGCTTTACTTAAATATAAGCTTTCCAAGTTTTTTTCTTGTTTCCAATGCTTCATATAAATTATTCCTTTTCATTGTTGCTTATTGTACATAATAACAATAGTCTTCAAGAAATCTTTTTTCAATCTCTTTTATTATCTATTTCGTGTCGTTCATCTTTCGTTAATTTTGTAAAAAATGCATAGCTATTGCTTGCTTAAATTTGACTTTTTAGGGAACAAAGAGATATAGAATTTCTCGAAATTCAGAATCAGAAATGGTGTGCGATTCGTGTATGTTCTTCTTTAATTTCAGGGAAAATTTTTGATTTTATTTTTAAATCGCTTTTTCGAAGTTGATATTTTATTTTCAAAGTGTTTTTTGCCCATCATCTGTTTAAGCAGGTTCCTTTTCTTCTTTGCTGTTTCATGAATTAAAAGATTTTCTCGTGTGCTCAAACTTTCAATCTGTTCTTCAGTTTTATTTTACCGTCTTTCAGGTGTAAAAAAACTTGGGAAAATAGCGACCATTGACCCGTATCGAACGAAATCACGCAACGAAAGTGCGGGGCCGATAAAAAAAGGTGGTGATGGAAACAAGCTCCTTTCAACTAGAAAGGACAGGTATATTTGTATGAAGGGATTATTTGTTTTGTTCTTTGGTATATGTTAGCTATGAAATGAAAAAGAATACTCCAGTGTTATTATTTTTGATCTTTTGGAGTTCTTTGTCAAGTTTAATTTCCTAAAATTTATTTGAAGTGGCTACAAGTGTATGATAATTGTACTGAACGAAGAATTCGGGACTTTATCAGTGAAAAATTTTCTTTATTTGAATTATAGGTTCCAGCCATACAGTCAGGAATTCAGGAAATGTCGAATTTGCAAGACTGTTGTTCATCAAGTTGGTTCACACTACTGCCAGCAATGCGCATATCAGAAAGCCATTTGTGCAATGTGTGGTAGAAAGATGGCCGATACCAAAAAATTGAAAATGTCTTCTGTGTAAATATTATTTTAGCATTGAGTAAGTTCATAAAAGTTATTATATGCAAACTTTTTTCCGAATGTTGATTGTACCACGGCGTTCATGGCTGATTAAAGTTATTTAGTAGGTTTTTCTGGTGTTAATTGAAAAAGAAAGTACCGATTTAATGTTCAGTGCAAGCCTAGAATGTAGTGTGTTCCGGTTTTCTCATGATTTTCTGTGCCATTATTTGCTCATAATAAACTTACAAGGTCTAAAGTTTAATCAAATATTTTAAAATCTAAAATCTTAGTTTTGCTTTTTTTTACAATATTGTTTGTTTCATTGCATACGAGAGTACGGATGGGAAAAGAAAGAGGAATATGGAAGACTGAAAATATGAAAGTCGCTGTTTTTTTATCAGTACAGTTCTTAACATTTCACAAATTTACAAAATTTGCGGTAAATGCAACGAATGACTCATTTCTACATATGTTCCATACATTTTTGGGGTTTTAAAGCTGCGAGATTACTACGATTTTATCGAATTTTCCACGCTTCTTTCCTTTTCGTCATATTTCTTATTTTCATTTATTTTTAAAATTTGTTTTTTTTGCATATATGTACTGTAATTAATCGTTTTTGTGTTGTATATAATTACTTTATTGAATGCACATCTTTCAACAAAAAATATTCAATTCGCACATTTCGGTATCCAAAACACTTGCTACAATTCAACACATACATATTTGATGGGAAGTGCTTATGGATAGCGGTAATAGATGTTTTACAATTCCAAATGTAAAAGTATCTAATTTTTAAATCAAAGTAAAGTAGCAATTATAAAACTTTTAGATTATAGATGTTCTAAGTTTCACCCCACTGTCAGCATGGAAATAATTTCCACTATTCGAAAATTTAGTTGACTATTAATTCCTTTATTCGTTAATTATTTTATTTAATAAAATCCAGTATTGATTTATATAATATATAATAAAATACAGTATTGTAGGTGAATAGTTAATATTTTATTGTTGACAGAATATTGTGGTGTTAATAGATAAGTTTGACGAAGCATTTTTCTTGAATTCTTTTAGTTAAAATGGGCAATAAATCTTGCTTTGCTTATATTTTTTGGTTTTATGTTTAATTCTGATCATAATGCTGGCCATAATTTTACTTCATTAAATGAGTAAATGGTATGTGTATGTGGAAATAACTGAATATAATATATATGGATAAAGAGACTTATAATTGTAATAGATTTGGTATTGTCCGGGGAGAAGTTTATCAGGTTCGTTGAAATGATCGTTGAAATGAATTGGAAAATCCAGATTTGCATAAATCTATATAGGTTACTATTGTGAATATAAAATATGTAAACAGATGATTCGTCGAGTTCAGTCGTTCAAAATTTCCTGTCTTTATGAGATATAATTCATGCTGAAGTTGGAAAGATAATCCGATAAAATTCGGCGATAAGGAAAAGTATTGTAACTTTAGATAATAAGGGAATTGTGCCATTCTGGCGAATTTATTGTAGAGGTTTCGAAGCGGGTCACTGCATCCTCTTCAATTCACCTCTCCTATTTCATCAGTGATTTTCTTCTGCATCCAGTATTTCGTTTCTTTAGCGCTTTATCGAAAATAATTCATTCTTTTATAAATCTATAAGAATGAGCTTATCCATGAAAAAAAGTAAACAAATATATTGACAGCTTTCTCATTTTCTCTTTCACTCCTTTCATCTCCTCTCTTTCTCTCTAATTAGTCGATTTTAGCTAGCAATTTTCAAGCTGATTGCTTCTTGCATGCAACAAAAGTCTTTAGTTGCAGCAGGTCTTTTATTTAGGTATGCCAAACAATTATTGGACTGATTATTGGTTTCCAGCTAAATTATACTTCAAATAGGCTGTAAGCTTTTTTTCGATAATGATTTTTCATGGGACAGAAAAGTTATTATCATCATTGATGAGTTTTTCTCATTAAGATATTTAAAAGAATTGAAATTAAATCATTCAAAATGTTATCATTCATTTACGTGTCAGCCACAATCGTTTATTTCTTTTTGTCATCAAATCCACAAATAATAATTCGTTTAATTGAAAATTACTTTTCCTTTTTTTTAATTATCAATTAGTAAAAAAATGGATAACTTTTTTCTTCTATTTGATTGGGAATTCTACCGAAATCATCCAGTATTCAATCCATAATGTAGGAAATATTATTTCTTTTCCATCCGGAAATTTCATTATATTCTTATATACTGAGATGAATGTGATACTACTGCTCTGCTATATTTATTAATTTCATTAATTGTTGCCATCATTGTAATTATTTCATTAAATTCAAGCGAGAAATTTTATAGTGATATAGGAAATCAAAACTGAATAATATTGAATGATTTAAGGTAAGTTTTAAGGTAAGTTTTAAGTTTTAAGGTAATTTAAGTTTTAAGTTTTAAAATTTAAGGTAATTTAAGGTAAGTTTAAGGTAATATTTAAGATAAATCTAATAAATATCGATTTCATAAATTGTCATAACAGATACGTTCGAGAATCTCTCTTCCTATATCGAATTAAAATTACTTTCCTATTAACAAAATTATTCTTTTCAAAATTAATTTGCTTCTTTAGATAAAACAAGTTTTCCAGATACCATCGGAAAACAAGTTTTTTAGGACAATTTATTATTTTTACACAACAAGAAAGAAGAGAGTAATGCTCAAAGTATTCATTCGCATCATCGATTGATAGTAATAGCACCAGTACTTCTTTCGAATATTAGTAAAATAAATATGATTAATCGAGGCGAGATTAATCCGGATTTACTATTATGTTATCTTTAAATTACCGGTGATATTTCATTCTATTAAAGTTTGTGTTCTAAAATGAAATCTTTCCAATTATTATTTGAATTAGTTATTATATTTTATTGTTTTACTTTTTAAACATTTCAGATTCAGCCTAATTTTTGATATCATCAAAAATAGATTAACAACAAATGCAATAGATATAAATGTATAAAGCAAATAAATACCTAGCTTTGCTAAGCATGCTATACTAAATTTCGACATTCTGATATTAACTTTTTACATAACTCTTCATCTAATATTAAATTTTTCATGTTGATGTCTTATCGTAGGACAAATAGTTAAGCCTAGGCTACGCCAATTTTTACTATTTATTTGCTGTATTATTAATTTTATTCGTTCTTGAAATGAATATATTTCATTTTCTTGCACGCTGCGCATGGAAAGTAATTGAATTGCCTGCCTATTTTGTTGTTTGTAAAATTTTGCTCTTTTTGAATTTTATACTTGATCTACATATCACTTTAATATGAAATGGAAATGAAATTTTCGGAATTTACAGAATTTCCAGAGTACATTGAAATTATTTAAGAGGAATGACATCATTTTTTTCATGATTTTGACACTATTCCCGGTATTTCTTAAATTTAATATCGTTTCTAATATTCCTTGGATTAAATATAATTTTTGATATTCTTTGAATTTGGTATTATTTTTTAGTATGGGGCATGAGACAAAGATATCGTGCAGCAAATTCATATTTCGAGGTTGTTCGTAGACTTAAAAATTGTAGCAATCTTAAAAAATCAAGCCTAGTGCTGTGATATAATAAGAATTCATCATTTTCTGCATTATTTACGGTATTCACTTCAGAAAATTTTAATTAGAGAGATTAAGTTTGCTTTTTCCTTAACTGAACATTTCTTCCTTTTTCCGTAACTTCTTTTTTCCTTACAAATCATGATGAAAGTTTTCATGATGAACTTCTTGAATACCTGAATCATTGACGTTTGTGCTAGCAGTAGTTCCGTTGTTCTTAACAATAATTTCTTGTATCTAATTTAAGTTTATTTCAGATGAATGAGGTGGAGCGGGTGAATATAGTATTGTTGCTATTGTCGGTATTATCATTACCTGTTACTATTAATGGTTTATCTGTACCACGACATCCGCAACAGATGAAGCAGGTAACAATACAGGTCAACGGCTACAGACCAACGATTGTAAGTGTTTTTTTTTTTGTTATGCGTTTAGATGTAGAGGACAAGAAAATAAGAACGAAATACATGTAGAATGTATATGCACTGAGTGGATATAATGTAGCTTCTATCAAATATTTAGCATTCATTCGTTCAATTTTATTTTTCCTCGCACTTCCGCAAAATTTGATCATAGGAGCTTATCATATTTTAAAGTTGAAAACACTTAGATAGTACCGAAGAACGAATGTGTACATGTACATATTCTATGTACATATGAATATGTGCATATTCTGAAAGCCTTAGCAAATCACTTTTTTAGTCAGTTAAATAGCGGATTGAATAATGGATTTATCGACAAAGCAACTAGATTGACTGAAATGATTTGGCAGCTGTCGCAAGCTGCTACATAAACTTGTACTATTTTAAAGTAAAAAATGTATATTTAATTTTTTACTATATGAAATAATGATGAATAGACAGTTTTAAATGTATTTTTCTTTCAGAATGATGACTACATAGCAGTGTCTATGCCTATAGAGCCCGGATATATTGGTTTGTTTCTCTAAGAATTTTTAACACTTCTGACTGTGTCATGTATGGAATCATGTTGCATGCATAGTTGTAGGTTCAACTTCCAATACAATCTTACTTTCAACTAACAACTTCTAACAAAATTATCCCAGAAACTGCAAAGACTTCTTGGAAACTTTTATAAAAATACTTTTTAATTTCATATCTGGTTTTAGTTCGCTTCGAGCCGTTCGCACATGCTGATCGTATTCATCATATATTGCTGTACGGTTGTACTTATCCGGCTTGGCCAAAGCCATTTTGGAAAGGATTTAGTGTATGCCGAAGCTTCGATTCACACATTCTATATGCATGGGCAAGAAATGGTAAGTTCTTTTACCAGTTAGAACTCGAACACGCGGCAGTAATGCTATGGTCCGACTCCAAGCACGCACTGTACTGGACTCAAAACTGTTCTCGATTTTCACCAAAATTTATACAAAATGGAGTGGAAGAAATAGGGAGGCAAAATTCATGTTTCGTAACATTCCAAGTAAGTGCAGTCCAGTTGACGTTACAACAAATGAACTCTCTCCAACTTGGGAATTACGAAATATGGTGGAAAAACCATCATGGAGAAAAAGAAAGGAACCAACTGGCCATAGTGGGAATATAACCTATGGAGAACTGAAAATGAAGAAGAAAGGGAAATTTTTATCGCAAATGTTACAAAAGAAATTATTACAAACTGAAATTTTTAAACTTATAGATGCGAGTCTTTTAAATAAGTGGTCAAGGTTGATTATTACAACTATTTGGGCCCTTAATTTCATAAAATTAAAAAGAAATATCTCATGGTTACAATTCTCATTAACCAAGGGTCTATTTACACGGATAACTACAAATTAGCCACGAAAGTACTGATCAGATAAGCGCAATCAGAAGGAGTAACTTGTATCCAATTTATTTCCACGACACAATCCCATAACCGAAACCTTATAATATAAAAAGCAGCACGAGAAAAATTTGTCGTAGAAGTGGATTTGGGTTCGAATAGTTTTTGTAGAAATTTATTCTTGGTAGAAGATAAGTTTATTCTTCTTGATGTTGTAATACAATAAAGAGAAGATATCAAGAATTTAAACCCTTTTATATTATGAAATCGTTTTAGTTCTCCGACAGGATAGGTCTTTTATTGAGTGTTTTTACGTTTTAATTAGTACTGCTGTCCAATACATTTAAAAATCTGTAGTTAATAGAGTCGAATAATGGAAATGACATCAGTTAAATGCTAATTGCATATTAGTATTAAATCAATTTGTAATTCTTTTTAGCACCCGACTTTCGTTTGCCGCAAAATGTTGCATTTAGCGTTGGACATGATTTCGATCCTATAAAATATTTGGTAATGCAAGTAAGTCATTACTGATTGCTTCGGTTTCTTGTTAGTTTAGTAAATTCTTCATTATATCTTCAGATTATCATTCTATGTCAATAAGTTTGTTTGTTTCAGGAATTACTGTTTATTCTTTTTAATTTTTGGAATATTTTCTGCAACTCTCTTCATCTTTATCATATTTATGTTTTATGACTTATTTGCTAACTTTCAATTTACTGATTATCTTTGAGTCATTTCATTATCCTCAACCCAATATTTTTATAATTTATATAGACTCTATGAAATTTGAAAGAAATTGCAGGTGCATTATGCACATCCATTCGTGGGTAAAGTATTAGACTATTCTGGTGTTACCGTTCATATGATTGATGAAAGGCCTGATTATTTAGCTGCTGTGTTACTTTTCTTGTCTGGAACTTCAATACAACCCGGATTTTCTCACTTTCAAATGAATATAAGTTGTATGTACAGGTGAGCAATTGCCCAGCTTTTGAAGATTTATTTTTCAAATTAAATCTTATATACATTTTGCTTATTATTGATAATCAACTTTAATCTTATTTTTTAATTTATTGAATTTTATTGACATTCGTTTTATACATAGCAAATGAATGAAGAAAAATAATTTCAGCAGTGATACACCGATTCATCCATTTGCATTTCGCACTCATACGCACAGCATGGGACGAGTTGTTTCAGCATTTTATAAACATTCTAATAAATGGACAATGATTGGTAAACGGAATCCGCAATGGCCTCAGTTGTTTCAACCAATTGAAACAAATCTTACTATTTTAAACGATGACTTAATGGCTGCTATTTGCGTTTATGATTCATCAATGAAGAAATCTGTTGTACGGATAGGGTAAAAATAGTGTTGTTTATTTTAATAAATTCTGAATGTTTTCGACTAGCACAATGATTTTGTCAGATAGAATTTATTGATACTACTTTTATGGATTTGCATACTAAGCTATAATGAAAATAATGAAAGGCTCAATACGAGATATCAAAATAATCATGATATATTAAAGTCACGATATATTGAAATCCCTTTTGAATTAATTACATTTTAAAACGTTAAATTTGATTAGATTTGTTAATCGTTAAATTTGGAAAGGTATTGTATAAGTCATAGATATTTTACGAAAAATAGCCACTGTCTAAGTGATACGAGACACCTGAATAATTTACTTGCTTTACTTTTCAGGAATACAGGTGAAGATGAAATGTGTAATTTTTATATGATGTTTTACTGGGATGCAACATCACAGGATCCATTTCCTGATGGAGCAATTTGTGCTGCACAAGATAAACAGAAGCTTGTAAGTGAAGAATATCCAGTTGAAGGCACAATTCCTCTTCAACCTCATCCAGATTGGGAGCATAAAGCACATCAAAGCAAATTGTTTGGTAAATTTTGCTGTAATGCTTTTTTCAAATTTAATTTTTTATAGAAAACAATATTTAATGGTGGTAATATCGAAATTGGAAAACTCAAAGGAATGGAGATAATATGATTTGTTTCAGATGACTTCTGACTTAAACCCTCCGTTTTTCTTATTTTAAATTATTGTTCATTTATTTTCATTTTTAAATTTATCAAGGAGCATAATTTTATGGAAGAATAAGATGGATCGGTTCCTTGCTGTCATCATTCGCAGTTGTTTGATTACAACTAGTTCTTTTCGACCAGCTGATTTCGGAAATTTGAAATAAGAAATTGCATCAAAATTAATTCAATTCTAAACAATTTCAGTTTGAGAATAATCTAATTTCGTACTTCAGGAGTCATTGAAAGAATGGTAGCAACATCTGTTGGTGGCATTAAACTTGGACAAGTCACTGCACTTAGTTTTGATTCATTTGGAAATTTGATTATAATGCATCGTGGTAGCCGAGTTTGGGACTCGATGTATGATGGCTTCTCTTCAAATAGATTATCGACTTTTTTAAAATCAGTTTTCCGTCTTTGATATGAGGAGATAATTTTTTCTAATTATGTTTCTCCCTAGACTTTCTTTTTAGGTCATTTGATATGGGAAACAATTTGCGAGATAAAACACCTATTAGCGAAGATGTGATTTTAGTTACATATTCAAATGATTCAAATTGGACGCTATCATTACGTAACAAATATGGCCGTGAGAAGTAATCATTATTTCCATTAGTATATTTGCTGAAATTAAATTAGTATATTGTTTTTTTTGATTTCATATTTGCTATATATGTAAGTCCGGAAAGTCGGATATCAGGATTGAGACTTATATGCACATATAAGTGAATGGAACTAGAAAAAATATTTGAGTGTTTTATTTTGCTACCAGTAATACTGCTGGACAAACAAGAATTGTAAGCTTTTTTGAACTTATAAAAAAGATGCTCGAACATAAATAGGCGATTCAAAATCACATAACAGTGAGGATTACGTAATGATCTGAACGCCATATGATCTAAAAACAATAATGTGATTTATAAAATCCTCTCAGATTTCTGTTTTATGAGGTTCATTTGGCAGAATAAAAGGAGAAAAAAGTAGGAGAAGGAGGTACAAAAAGGATGCACGCTTCACGTCACAATACAACGACATCGAGGAAAATGTTAAAATATAGGAAGAAAGATTTTATTCTTTGAAAAATCACTCAAGCATTGGTTTTTGGATTGTTTGAAGTATGAATAAAGTTATATCAGAAAAAAATTTGAATTTCATCTCTTTTTTTCAGATTCTACATGCCACATGGTTTAACAGTTGACCAACAAAATGATTATTATACAACTGACGTCGGCTCTCATCAGGTCATCAAATGGTCACTTTCACATGGTTATGTTCGTTCCTACTTTTTTAAATCATGTGAGGGGATGAGATGGTGTAGAAAACAAGTTGTAACTTTTTTTTTACTACCTTTTCAGAATCAAAACAGAATCAGTTAATTGAGCGATCACTGGTCAAGACATAAATGGGTACTTTTAATTACATCGGTTCCTATTTGATCAGTTTTATTACTGCATAATGTATTTGTTGAGTAGAAAAATGTGATATGAGTTTGGCACCACTAACTATATAATTCTTCACCAAATAGGAACTGATACATGTATTGAATGTCTGTGGTAGGTAGGGTGAGTTACTTAATTTCACTTCTTAACTGTGAACAATCCAAACTGTGTATGGGCTATTGTTTGAATTATTATCAAATCTTATTACTTCAATGAAGTTCTAGGCTCACTATCGCAAGTTTTTGCATTGGGTGAAAAGTTTGTCCCTGGAGACGATCAGAAACATTTTTGTAAACCAGCAGGTATTGCGGTCACTGCAGATGGAAATATTTTTGTCGCTGACGGCTACTGCAATAATCGAATCATGAAATTCGATCGAAATGGACAATTCTTAACTCAGTGGGGACAATCAAGTTATAATAGTAGTAGGTATTTATAGATCGATTAAAAATTTAAATTTAAGTTCTTCAAGTGTATCCAATAGATTTTATTCGCAGACTTTTTCTTAAATATTTGAAAACTTGGTTAATATTTCAATAATTCATTGCTAATGACAGAATTAAAAATATAGAACAAAATGTAACACGTCATACTTTCTTTCAATAAATATTAAATAAAAATTCTTTAATTTTGAAAATTGATATAGTAAAATGAATTTTTGCGCCATTAATTTTCAGTGAGTGGTATAGCGAGCCTACATCTGGGCATCTTTTCGTTACCACATGATATTGTGGCAAATAATAATGGTTCACTGTTATATATTACTGATCGTGAAAATGCTCGAATACAAATATTTCGGAGTGATGGGCGGGCAGTGGGCCAGATTGTTAATCCAGCAAACAGCACAGCATTTGGGAATATTTATTCAGCTGATTATCACAGTACAATTTTTCAATTTTTTCATTCTTCTTTAATAAGTTTACGGAAAGTCTTTTTTTTGCGGTTTGGAACGATGTTTTTTGGAAGCAAAAGAAAGAAGACGTTGAATGATGGCGTTGGAAAAGTTGGAAAACAAATAAATAGATCGAAGTAAACAATGCTGGATTTTCGATCGAAATCTTAATATTGCTTTCATAGATCGTTTGAAGTCCTTAAAGGCTCGTCGGCATTTTTTAGTAAGATTTTGAGTTCAATGAGTTCATGAAACATCGTTCCTCATGAAACAAGTTTGATGCACAATTTGAGCATTTCCAATTTCTACTGGAACGGAATTCGAAAAACTAAGAAATTTCGCGAGTGAGAATCGATCTTTTCTAAATCAGGAATTAATGATTGTAATAAGTGATCTTTGTGTTATAATTATACTTATTAACAGCTCGTCCCCCTGCCAAATGCACAAACAACAGCTGTCGCTATTAACCTGAAGTTTTGCACTTCTGCTCAGAGTTCTTGCACTCACTTGTCATCCATTTTCAGATAATATACTATACTTCATTCCCGGTAGACAACAAAACGGTCTACCTATACGTGTATTCAGTGCACATTTGGGAGCCTCTCGAATACAGTATTCATTTGAACCAATAAATCATCCGTTCAATCGACCGCACACAATTCGAGTTTCCAGGGATGGACGATCTATCTACGTTGGAGAATTGGGTCAAGATGGTGGTCGAGTTTTGCAGTTTATAATAAATAGAGATGAAAATCAAGATAGTACGACTTTGTTAATCTTTAAAATACTAAAAATTTTTAATTTTTGATCATAAAACTTCATTCAGTATATGTAGTCGGTAGGAGCTATTGGAAAACTAGTGATTGATAGTTTCCTTCGAGGTCGGTGAAGAGAATGATTGATATTCTGGAGATTCATAATGGAAGCTTTTACAAAATGACATCTAAATAGTACATTACAAAATAACCAAGACAAAATCCTGAATCTAATAGCATATCTACTTGCTGAAAAAATATTATGTGTGATGCGTTAAATGATTTGGTCTAATCCACTTGTTGGGTCATATCTCAACGTGCAATTTCAACTGCCAAATTTAAGATAGCGTATTTTTGACTTTTTCAGGATTTCCTGAATTACATGTTAGAATTACATGTTATTTTTACCACTCTGGAATATAATGAAATATACAGATTGCATTTTTCAAAAGGAAATAAGATCGAAACATTCGAAATCAGGCTTATTTGCAACTTTATATTGCAGGGAATAATATTGATTCTTTGTCACCATTGTCAGTAGGTCGAACTCCACAGTTCCCGCTTCCTGCTACACTTTTGGTTGTGTTTGTTGCTTTACCACTACTGATCTTTTTTGCATACAGACGAAAGAAGTTTATGCGAATAGGAAAGCAGTATTCAGTTTTAAATCGCGCGGTAAATATCCATAAGGCCTTAAATTATTATAAACTTATCAGTTCTGGAATGCTCTTAGTATTAGATGCGTTGAAAAATAGGTCGTATGATTCAGAAAAGACCATGGGAAACTATTACCCTAATCAGAGGTGATTTTAGTTTTGTTTTTGATAAAGGGAGATCTTATCTTGGCACCAAATCATACTAAATAAGCCCTTTCGTAAATAGATTATTGATGACTTCGACTAATTTATTCACTGAAAACTTAAGATATTCAATTAATAAAAATGAATTCATTATTGTACTCTCAAAATGCGGGAATATTTTTTTGGAATTTTTACTTTTTAGGGCTTCAAGCCTCTACGAACGGATGATTCGGAGACATCGAATGACGATTCAGATGATGACATTATTTCTTCTCCGAAAAAAAGCAATGATAGGTTTTAACTGTCTGTTCATTTTCTAGAGATTCAAGGAAAAACAGAACGAATCACTCTTAAATTCTTTAGCTCTTTAATTTTGCCGTCTGCTAATCAAAGGAACGGTTTCTTTTAAGGAAGAATCGTTTTGTAATGCACAGTGTCTGAGTTATAAATAGTGACAAAAAAATCCGGTAATCTGGAACTATAAAGAAACTATAAACTTTTTTAACAGGGAAAAAATCAAAGTATATCAACAATGGAAATCTTTGAGCTTTTTTATGAAAGTGTATAGCTCCTTAAGATTCTTTTCCTTTATATTTTTTTCAACTTTGAAAATCATGTGGTGTTATTATTTATGAATGGATCTTTGTGATAAACAATATGCTCTATAATAAAAAGTCCAATTTATGTCACTTCAAGCCTTTCCTTCACTTGTTCATTTTGCATCTCTTTCTGTTTATCCGAGCTTCTCATTTTAATTGTGGAACTTCCCTTACTTTTTCATTATTCCTCATCTAGTTTACTAACACGATAATCTTTGATTTACTTTCCAGTTTTTCTGTTTTGCAAAAAAAATTTTTCCCTTTTACTTTTTTGGATTTGATAGAGCAATATAATTCCGGGATATCCACTGATATGTCATATATTATTATTATTATTATTATTATTGCATATTGTCTAGTAACGTTGCTGTAACTGGTACTTATGTTCATATCTATTAAGTTATAACGTATCAACATATTATAACATTAGTTTTTTTAACTTGTTGTTTTTCTATTTTTTTCTCAAACATGTGATGTTTTCTTTTCGGGATTATTTCTCCGTCGGTTTACACTATCTTGAATATATATATATATATATTTTTCTGTTTTCTCTAGTAGATATGAAATAAAATTACATGTTATGGGAGTTTTTCTATGCAAAATAACGATGAAATAGATTGAAAATTCTTTATTTCGAGCTATTGCAAAGGTTAGATTGTAAAATATATCCGAAAAGCGAAGTCTTTTGTTAAATAAAACGAAAAAGTTCGCATTCTACGTTAACTACAACGCAGAAAAATGACTTTTTAGGTAGGATAAATACATTAAAGACTATTCCAATAAAATTTCAGCAAAAGGCTCCAAAAGAACACCGTATATCTCTGTTAACTTCGGCTACAAGCTTCAGGTATGCAAAAATTTCCGAATGAATAGGATGTGAAAAAAAATCTTTACTTCCTTCGCATAACAGGAACTCTCAAACATGCAATTTTCTGAAAAGGTTGAGGAGGACTGCATGAGCGCTTACTTTTTGTTTGCTATATGATGCAATCTAATGCATGACATGATGGGCATTGCATCTCTGTAAAACTCTTATAATCGAATCATTCTCGGGTATTCTAAGCTTCTAGCTCTTGGTACTTTATATAATTCGGTCGAACCCTAAGAACAGTTTCTGAAATGAAACTTAACATTGATTTATTGTAAAATTCGAAGGAAAAAAATGTTGAATTAGTATGAGTTGTAACTATATAAATCATATATAATCACGACAGTCTTTTCTATTCTGCTCTTTTCAAACACCAATCAATATTGCTATAATTACCTATAGCAGATGCGATACGCGCAATATCTATGTTTTTTTTTTCCAATAATTGCATAGCATGTGGATAACATGAAAGAAGTTACGTCATGTAACTTTTACCTATAACAATTTCACTGAATGTAGAATATTTTTATAGTTTAGTTATGAAGATAACTACCTCTTCATAACTAGTTATCTTCATAACTAAACTTTACAATTTCCAAACAAAACAATATTTTCAAATGAGTGTTTCAAGTTCGTTAATGTCACATTCTTTAGTTGTGCGTATATTTTTGACAAAAATCCTCATAAATGCCTTTCAACAAATTGTTTACGTACGTACATTAACAGTAAACTTCAATGTTTGTCAGAAGTAATTGAGTAATTTACGATATGTAATCTGAATCTAATCAAAATCATTTGTAGCTATCAAAAACGTTTTACGTACGGCAATTTCCGATTAGCGTTTTACTTATTAACGTCATCATTGACGTATTTTGAAATGTTATTGGTAATTTGAAAACGTATGTATTCATGTATGCAGGCAAATAAGTGAAAAAATTGTGAGAGGGTAACATTTTACGGTTGAAGTATGCGGGATAAATAAATGCCGCGGGAGGAAAGAAGAAGGTTAAGGATGGAGTATACGGGATAAATAAATAATGCCGCGGGAAGAAAGAAGAAGGTTAAGGATGGAGTATACGGGATAAATACATAATGCCGCGGGAGGGAAGAAGACGGTTAAGGATGGAGTATACGGGATAAATAAATAATCCTGCGGGAAGAAAGAAAACGGTTAAGGATGGAGTATACGGGATAAATAAATAATCCTGCGGGAAGAAAGAAAACGGTTAAGGATGGAGTATACGGGATAAATAAATAATCCCGCGGGAAGAAAGAAGACGGTTAAGGATGGAGTATACGGGATAAATACATAATGCCGCGGGAGGGAAGAAGACGGTTAAGGATGGAGTATACGGGATAAATAAATAATCCCGCGGGAAGAAAGAAGACGGTTAAGGATGGAGTATACGGGATAAATAAATAATCCCGCGGGAAGAAAGAAGACGGTTAAGGATGGAGTATACGGGATAAATAAATAATNNNGAGTATACGGGATAAATAAATAATCCCGCGGGAAGAAAGAAGACGGTTAAGGATGGAGTATACGGGATAAATAAATAATCCCGCGGGAAGAAAGAAGACGGTTAAGGATGGAGTATACGGGATAAATAAATAATCCCGCGGGAAGAAAGAGGACGGTTAAGGATGGAGTATACGGGATAAATAAATAATCCCGCGGGAAGAAAGAAGACGGTTAAGGATGGAGTATACGGGATAAATAAATAATCCCGCGGGAAGAAAGAAGACGGTTAAGGATGGAGTATACGGGATAAATAAATAATGCCGCGGGAAGAAAGAAGACGGTTATGTATGCATGTGAATGGTTGTTTGTTTATGCGATTGATGTGGAGGGCCTGTTTTCGGTGTGCAAAATGCATTTGTGTGGCATAGTGATGCTTACCTCTTTTTTCAAATGCATTGCAGTTTAGGATGAAATGAGAGAAGAGAACAGAAAGGAAATAAAAGAGGGAGAGAGATAGGATGCAAGAGAGGGAGAGAGAGAAAGAAAATGGGAGAGGAGAGAGTTTATGTTGGGGTAATGGCAAATAGCCATCAGTAACACTAGCAAGGCGATACGGGCTACGTTTGAGATCACTTCAGTCATCATCATCCATTTTCGGCAGATTTGAATTGCAACCAGTGCGTGCTAACATGCCTTCAACAGCTTATTTCGGATAATTTTTGCGCCGTAAGATTTTTATCATTTAGGTTATCCGTCATCATAAATGTGCTACTTTTTTGTATGTGATTCATCATTCGTGTTAATGGACTACTTGCGATGTTACTTATTCATCATGGTAACTTTTTTTTTAAAACATTAACATTGAGGCTTATGTCATCATTAGCATATCATTCTACTGCACTGATTATTTGTATGTACGAATTGTGTTTTAAATTAGATTTTAAAAACTTTCTTGTTAAAAATTCAATTATAATCTACTGCGTTTCATATTTCATTCAGTAATTTATGAAACTTTTATGTTAGTATAGTAATTATTAGTTCTTCAGTGTCTTCCATATCACCTTTTCCATCATTTATTTTAGAAATTTCATCGTTTGAAACAATTGCAATTTAATTCTCGGTCTAGCTGTTATTCGTTTCCGCTTTTTTTGCAGGATGGAATATAGCGATGGATGAAGGAGACGATTATGTACCACAGATTTCACAACTTGACTATTCATTGGTCGATAGCGGACAAAGCGTCTTGCAAAACGATCCTGGTATTTATAGTCCACCACCACCTCAAATACCTCTACAGCATCTCCAATATGGTAATGACGTTACAGCAGTGCATCATCCATGCCAGTTACCCAATCAAATGGTTCCTCAAAGCATGCAACAGCAACAGGTAATACATTTACTCATAAAAGTTATTGCCATTATTTATGTGCTGTTTTTTCCACGTACATTTATACAATTTGTGGATAAAATAATTCACATCTTTGAAATTTGTGAATGAAATACGTCACATATTTGCTCGGTGCATTATCTTAATCGCTCAGTGTATTGTAGTTTAGTTTTAGCACGATGTATTTTTAGGTGATACAACCTACTCAATTACCACAACCAATTGTGCAGAAGCCAAAAATTCAGAGACGTCGCAAAAACGCAGCTAATGTTGAGCAGCAAGTTTTAGCAGGTCAAGCAATGCTTCCAGCCTCATCAGTACCGCCTAGACAACAGTACATGAATAACATGACACCAATGCAGAGTATGGCGGCAATGTCTCAAAATCCCTTAATGTCCCATATGCGATCTATAGGACCGGGACCACAAATACAACAGGTGATGCCTGGAAAACATCCATCGAATGATATGTCACCAATGCGTCATCCAGGTCTACCCCCTAACGTCCATGATCCATATCATCAGCAACAGCAATGGTTTCAACAGCAGCAATTTCGCCTTCCGAACAGTTACCCACCACAACATCAGATGTATCCAGCGCAACAACGTCCACCTATGAATCAAGTGATGCCTCAACAGACTTATTATTCGCAACAGCAACAACAAATACAACAAGATGCCCGGAATCCGATGTATTATCAACCACATCAAGTGTATGAACAAATGCCGCGTTATCCACCATCTATGGGTCCACAGCTTAGTCATTCACAGCAGTATTATTCTGAACAAAGCCAAAATTTCTTTCCATCTCCAAGTCATATGACACAACAATCATCTCACTCCCATGCTATGACAATGCATCAACAAGTACCTTCTGGATCTGGTGACTGGCAACAACACAGCGCTAATTCGCAACAGCGCTATCCTTCGCAACCACAATATCCACCATCCACCAGTATTCAGATTGAAATACAGCAGGTTATAGTTCATTGTTTCGGGCAGCTTCTACTCGAAATTGAACATAATCAACAAGAAACTTTAACAAAATCTTTTGTTATTAAAGTTGTAGTCTGCAGGCGCATTATCACGAATAATCAATGAAGTATATTTCATTAGTAGCGGTTATTTTTACTTCATCAAAAAATGAGATTTGACATTTTAAGTTGGTAATTTCATCCTGCTGAACTACGTCCCTTAGGCACAAGGAATTTTGATTAAGCTTACATCACTTAACAGAGGGATGAATCATTGATAGGAAAAAGTGGGATATGAAATAATGTCATTTCATATAGTATTATATAAAATTTTAATATTTTGCATCGACAAGTATTCAAATTTTTCTTAGGTTCAACAACAGCTGCAATCGATGTATGAAATTCCAAATAGAAATATGCAAATAGCACAACAGATTGAACAGCTACAGCTTCGTTTGCAATATTTACAGCAGTGCTACATGAACGAGTGTCATGGTGGTGCTCAGCGAAACGAACAACCTGTCTCCGTCATGCAGAGAGGTTCCGAAGTGCAGGTATCATTAGCATAGTGTTAATAAGAAGTAAATTCGTGCAAAATTTGCTTTTACGTAACGGTAAAGATGCTAAAAAATCAGAAATATTATATTATAAATGGAAATAAATTGTCGTGGGGAATAAATTTGATGTTATCCTATTTGATATTTATAAGATTTGAGAGTGCTGTTTAATGTTTGGCTGAAATTCTTCTGTAAGTCAAAGCATAAATTAAAGGCTTAAGTTTTTTTTCGTTTTAGGTTAACATAAAACCGGATATGCCAGGTCATACTCTGATTAGCGTCTACCACCAATATCCGCCTAACTCAGCCCCAGCGACAAGTGTGCTGCCAACAGAAAATGTCATTGCAAAAGACTCTGTTCCGCCAGAACCAATTCCATCACGTTCTCGTACTCCCATTGAAGATCCGTCTGCACCGAGTGTTATCAGTGTTGCTTCAGGTCATATATCAAATGCGCCAAACAATACAATGCCGTTTATGGAACCGCCAGCACCTATGGCTTCAAGTGGAAATGTAACTTCAGCTTATAGCGTTCAGCAGCAACAACGAAGTTTATTTCAATCTGTTGTAGAACCTAATGGAGTATCAGCAACACTAAAGTGTCAAGATCAGTTGAAATATCAGGAAGTACCCGAATCACAACAGCAACAACCGAGTGACACTCGAACTGATTTAGAACAAGAATTAGGAATCTCTGATGGACTACCCACCACTGCCATTACTGTTCCTTCCGCTTGTGAAGTTCTAGTTCCAAATAGAGATGACGAACAAGGTGTCTTGTCAGATAAACATTGTGTAACAGAAATTGCGACAAAGAAGGTAGAAGACACTCGAACTGATTTAGAACAAGTTACTTGCCAATTTGCAAGAGAAATGCGACAAAAGAAAGTAATGGATTCAACAACTAATAGTGCACATTCGTCAGAAAATTCTGAGGCTTGTCTACCAGTTGATGATTTGTCTGATACGGAAGAATCGAAGATGCATCTAGAAGCAGCTACAAATTCAGAAGAAACCATGAAAAACGCGTTCAGGACCTATGAGGGATCCAAAAATTCAAGAATGGAAGTTGATATTCAAGACCCGACCAGTAATGAACTGCACCCTGAAAAGGAAACAGATGTTGAAAAAGTTGAAATCAAGGAAGAAAATAATGAAGATTTCTCAAATGGAGTAGAGGAGACAGATGAAGAGTTAAAAAAGGAGAATGAATCAGAAATTGGGGAGAAGCAGGAAAGTGTAGCAGGTGGGGAAGTAGATAGAAGTCGTGAATTGAGTAAATTGAAAACCTGTGAAGTTCAATGTGAAAAAGTGGAAGTTCACGGAAATTCAAACAAACGGTCGAAGATCGATGAAAGTGAAGAACACACGGAAATCTCCACGAAAGTAACAACGATCTCTCTGGAAAATGTCGCGGAAGAGAAGCAAAAAATAAGTGAAGCTGACGAGGCTACATCCTCGGAAAAGCCGAAACGAAAAAGAGGTCGGCATCCAAAACGAGGTATGAGTAAGAAGCGGAAAATCGAGAAAGAAGGAGAAGTTGTGGTAGAAGTAGATGACGAGGAATTTATTCCTGATTCTAACCGTATAACACGGAAACGACCACGTACAAGGCGGCGTGTGGCAGTGGAACGTGATGATGCTCCTTTCGAGTACATAGAAAAGCGGCGATCCGGTCGCTCGACAAATGTTGAGAAGAAGAGCTATGATTTACAAGCAAAGTGGGATGAAATGGATGAAGAAATCGGTGAGGATGTCCAAAGTCGAAAAGAGAAAAAACAAGAAGAGCAAAGCGAATTTGTTATCGAAAAAATTATGAGTATGAAAAAAAACGAGAATGGACCGGATTTATATTTTGTGAAATACAAAAATAAAGCCTATATTCATTGTGAGTGGAAGTCTCAATGTGATCTGGAAGCTGGAGATCGTCGAGCTGCAGCAAAATTGAAGCGCTTTCATCAAAAGCGAGCTCATACTTCAGATCAAGATGAGGATGAGCAGTTCAATAGTGACTTTGTAATTGTTGAACGCGTACTGGATGCCAACGAATTGGAGGGAAAGGATTTTGTTCTCGTTAAATGGAAATCTTTGCCATATGAAGAAGTTACATGGGAAAAAATAGAAATTATTCCAGAGGATAAAATTGAAGCATATAAACAACGAAATATTTGTGATTCCTTGAAAGTGAAACCAAAGCCACATCCATCGGCTTCAGATTGGTCTAAAATTCCTGAAGATATAGCCTTCAAAGATAATAACAGACTTCGAGAATATCAATTCGAAGGTGTAAATTGGCTTTTGTACTGTTATTATAACAAACAAAACTGCATTCTGGCTGATGAAATGGGTTTAGGAAAGACGGTACAAACAATATGTTTTTTGCAACAAGTTTATGATTACGGAATTCATGGACCATTTTTGATTGTTGTCCCGTTGTCAACAATTCATAATTGGCAACGTGAATTCGAAACATGGACCGATATGAATACCATTGTTTACCACGGAAGCGCATCAAGTCGGCAAATTATTCAACAAACTGAATTTTATTATCGGCCGGAAGAGCTGAAAGGAGGCAAACGTAACGTTGTCAAATTTGATGCTTTAATTACCACGTTCGAAATGGTTGTAAGCGATTGTGATGTCCTCAAGCAGATCAGCTATCAAGTATGCATTATTGATGAAGCACATCGATTAAAAAATCGAAATTGCAAATTACTTACCAGTGGACTGCTTTCATTAACCGTAGAACATCGTATACTGCTAACAGGAACACCATTACAAAACAGTATTGAAGAACTATATTCACTTCTGAATTTTCTGGAACCAGAACAATTCCATAGTTCATCTGCTTTTCTTGAGCAGTTTGGCCAGTGTCAAACTGAGGATCAGGTGCAACGATTACAGGATATTCTCAAACCGATGATGCTACGTCGTCTCAAAGAAGATGTTGAAAAGACGTTACAACCAAAAGAGGAGACCATTATTGAGGTAATTTTTAATGTACTTGATAAATATTCGATTTGGAAAAATAAAAGAAACATTTTCCTAATTGACGATGCGTTATTTTTTATATCTGTTATCTAGTCATAAAACATTTTTGTAGATACAATTATCGAATACCCAGAAGAAATACTACAGGGCAATATTGGAAAGAAATTTCTCTCATCTTTGCAAAGGAACATCCGTACCCTCGCTAATGAATGCAATGATGGAATTGCGGAAATGCTGCAATCATCCATTTCTTATAAATGGTTCGTCTTCAGAAAAAAATTAGTTTCATATATGTCAGAGTTTCGTAAATATATTAATATATTTTAAACCGTATTTACTAAAATTCCAGTTTAGGACTTTTTTCTGAGGTTTTGCAACACTTTGCAAACATTGCTTCGAAATTTATGTATCAGTTCATATTGAGTTTAGGTGCTGAAGAACAGATTCTTGCTGAGGTAAAAGCGGGACATCCAGACTGGAATGAAGATGATATTTATCAGCATGCATTGGTGCAGTCATCTGGAAAATTGGTTCTTATTGCGAAGCTGTTACCAAAATTACATGCGGATGGTCATAAAGTATTAATTTTTTCTCAAATGGTCCGCGTTTTGGACATTATCGAAGAATTTCTTGTTGCACAGAAGTTAGTTTTATCATATTTCATGGTTCCTATTGGATCATTCATAGTGTTTTATTAATTAAAGTCTCGTATGATAATTCTTTATATTTTCAACTAACCAAGGAATAAGAGCTTAGTGAAGAACAATTCAAATCCTGCTTAATTTTTGTAATGCTTAACTCAATTTATTATAGTTATACATTTGAGCGAATCGACGGCAACGTTCGCGGTGATTTGAGACAGGGCGCTATCGATCGTTTCAGTAAAAAAGGTGTCCCTTAAGTTTCACCTTCTTCATTGCTTTAAACTGATGAAAACATTCCTTAGAGAAAAATGATGGTACATCATTCTTTGGTACCTATTGTTCACACTAAGTAAGTATATGTTCATTGTTATAACAAATTACAGATTCTGACCGTTTCATCTTCTTGCTCTGTACTCGTGCTGGTGGTCTTGGAATCAACTTAACAGCAGCTGATACTGTCATTATTTTTGATTCTGATTGGAATCCGCAGAACGATTTACAGGTAAGTATTAAAAAATTATTCTGATTATAATTTTGTTACGCATTTTGTTGCTTACGTTTATGTGACGAATCGGAGTCGATACATCAATTTGGATGACTTTTTTTTGAATTGTTCTTTGATTTCGTAATGAAATCTATCTTTTGCTATGTCATTTTAAAACTCATTATAATTAAATTATTTTTTTACAGGCGCAGGCTCGCTGTCACCGAATTGGTCAAACAAAAATGGTGAAAGTTTATCGCCTAATTACCTGTAACACGTACGAACGTGAGATGTTCGATAAAGCATCATTGAAGCTAGGCTTGGACAGAGCCGTTTTGCAATCTACGACTGCTTTGAAGGATACTTCAGTAAGCCATCGCTTTTCCTGTTTTAGGAAATTATTTAGGAGACTGCAAAATGAATTCCTACTTCCCTTTCATTCATAAAGAAATGCCTCCCTATTCGACTTAATCATTTGCAGCAGCAGTTATCACGGAAAGAAATTGAAGAATTGTTGAAAAAAGGGGCCTACGGTGCGATTATGGAAGAAAATGCGGAGGAGAGTAAGTTTAATGAAGAAGACATCGAAACAATTCTTCTTCGCCGCACAACTACAATAACACTTGAAGTAAGCATCGGTTTCTTCATCTGTATCGTATTTTTAGAATATTTTCATTACCTTACATTTGATTATTTAACAACTTGATAAATAATTTTTTTAATTTTCTTGTGATTTTAAAAATACACGGTTTAGTGAAATAGGCTTTATTTTTATTTAGGCCGGTGTGAAAGGATCGACTTTTGCAAAGGCATCCTTTAATTCGTCTACAAACAGAGAAGATATTGATATTGACGATCCTAATTTTTGGTCTAAGTGGGCTAAAAAGGCAAATATTGATACGGAAATGAGCCAGACGGATAAGCAGCTAATTGTTCTTGAACCCAGAAATCGGAAAAAAAGGCTCGTTTTTTTTGTTTTTTTTTTTTATTTCAGTATTAATGGTAGAAGCCCATTTTTGTCTTTTTCCACGCAGAATTAACGGCATCCAATTTATAGAGTCAAGTTAAGACTGTGGACATAGAGAAATATTTAAATTTTAGATTTGAAGAAAATGTTTACAAGTCGGAGGGTGGTGATGACACAGAAGGCGAGGAAAGCGATGATAGCAGTAAGGCTCGAAAAAGAGGTGACCGGAAAAGTGACCGTAAGAAGCGTCGTGAAGATGAAGAGTATCGACCAGATGAGCTAGCTTTTAATAAAAGTGAATATTTCAAGGTCAGCTGGTATTTATAATTTTCAGTTTTTGCTGCTTTTGTTTTATCTGAGCTGTTATCCAAAAATTTTTCATATTACCAAATTTTTAAATAGAATCGTCGGACTTGCGTCACCTTATTTTGCCGTAAAAATTATGTATGATTTAGATTGAAAAAGTACTCGGTCAGTTTGGTTGGGGTCGTTGGAAAGTAATGCGCGAAGTGTCGGATTTGAAGGATAGTGTCACCGAAATTGATATTGAGCACATTTCAAGGTTTGTTTTGTTATCTATCGAAAAAAGGATCAGGTATCTATTACAATTTGTGATTATTAATTTTTTTTTGAGCTTATTAGTTAATCACATTCATGTAAAATTTAAGTTTAGTTTTTGGAGGTTCACAATCGATGGTTCAATCGTCTTCCTATTACGTCGCATTTTCATTAAATAAAATATTTATGTAGTAAGTTTCGCATAACTTTGGATTTAATTCAGCTTAATTTATAGGACACTATTGTTACATTGCATTCGTGAATATCGTGGAGATGAGAAAATTCGTGAATTTGTTTGGCGACTGATAATCCCAAAAGGCGGTTTAGTTACTGGCAAGAATACAGAGAAAATGAAAAATCCTAGTTTGACATCAGTATTCCATGAGGGCTGGGCAGCATTACCAGAATACAATCCGCCAGCTTTTGCTGTTGATTCATCTTTTCAACGTCACGTTCATCGACATTCAAATAAACTGTTGATTCGGATGCATCAGCTTCACATATTAAATACTGAAGTAAACAAATCATTTTGTTAAACCTTTATAGCTTCTAAAATAAAATGTTTTACTAAGCTATCAAAAATTATTTGCTATTCTTGTTAAAAAAGTCAGCTTTAGCTTGTTAAAAAAGTCAGCTTTTTCCAGTTCAAAGCTGGCATTATGACTAATTAGATTGCGTCGACTGTATACCGAGAAATGCGTTAAGCTGAGGGATTAGGAAGTCTTGGTTATTTTAATATCAAAAGCTATTAGTATGCAGCAAGCTTATGTTCAGAAATTTTATGTACAAATTGTTCAGAAATTTCAATTTTCAGATAATTGGTAGTAAGAGTGAAGCAATAATGAACAATGCAAAAGCAAAGGACATCGATTTGTCGGTTGATATGAATGATGCTTTTGTAGCTGGTTGGGATTCTGAATGTGATAAGAGTTTTCTGATTGGAGCGCATAAACATGGTACTAAATAATTTTCTCTCCTTATTGTCATATTGCTTTTCTAATTGTTCTTGGCCAAGTAATTAAAGCAAATAAAGATAATTTCTGTACTTTAATTGACTGGACTGCAGTTTACTAAACCTAGTTTTAACTTTTTAATCCCATTATTGATTTAACAGTTAGTGCATGTTAGTTGATTTGTCATTTAAAAAAAAATCAAGAGATACATCTAATGGTTTACTTAAAACGTCGCTTTTATTTCACTATCATTCACGGATATTTGTTTTAAGGATTTTTATAAGGATATTTGTTTTGGCCAATAACACACTTTTTAATTGTAAAATCAGTTTAAAACTTTTCACTTTTAATTTCTTTTTTAAAGAGAAAAAATTCCAGGTCTAGAAAATATCGATGCGATTCGTGTTGATCAAACGCTTTGTTTTGGTTTGAAAAAAATTGAGATTTTCCCGAATATCTCGGATTTGTTGAATCGTTTCCGGCGTCTTTTAACACATTTCCAGAAAAAGCGACATGATTCATTGACATTTTCAACGTAAATTAGGCGGATTAGTTCCTTTTTGAAAATACGTTTCAAGTTTGATATGAGTTGTTTATACTGATTATCAGAAATTTCCTGAATTTTTGCATTATAAGTGTTTTCGAAATTCAGGTGGACTAAACGTGAAGAAGCAGAATTCATGCGTGTTCTGAGAAGTTATGGAGTTAAGGATGATCCATCAACAATTATTTCCTGGACACGCTTTCGACAGCTTTCTCCATTTTTAGAAAAGAAAACTGATAGTGATCTAATGGAGCAATTATATTGCGTATTGTCCATGTGCACAAAACAGCTCGGGAATGAAATAACGACTGTTGATTTACAGCGAGCCTTAAAGGTTTCAGTTTTATTTTCTCAAACATTTCATTGTTTGTTACGATACTTGATATTTTTCATAAGAATTTCATGCTGTTTTTCTTTGAATTATAAAAGATACAACTTTTGGAGGTTTAATTTTCAAATTTTAATTAAGGTCAAAACAACATTTGTTTTGACGGCTGGTATTATGCTTGTTTTAATTTTGCGGGAATGATTCCAGGTGGAATCGATTTCGGCGCGAAAGGCACAGAAACTGATGCACCGGATGAATATGATGCGGCAGATTCACGATTGGCGAGAATCACTAACCGATCGACGAACGCTCCTCAAGCTTTGTTCTAACGAAGCGATGCCAAGCGGTTGGTCGATTGAACAAGATGAAGAGTTGTTCAAAGTGGTAGATGAACATGGTCTGGACAACATAGCTGCTAATATCCTTAATAAGGCAACTTTTCAAAAGGTTGTAGTATATTTGATTGTTCTTTGTACTTCCATTTCATTTTCGATAATGGGAATTTTGGGAATTTCTCGGTAATGGGAACTTTCATACTGTTTATAATTTTGTGAAAAAAGTATGTTCTCGAGTTTTCTATTATTTCTGATTTTTATAAAATTCTTTATTTTTTAGATAATAAGACCAGAGGAACGAACTTTGCTAAGACGTGTCGCAGAGATTTATACTACTCTTCAAACGAAGAAATGGAATGGAGCTGCTTCCACTGAACTGCTCGAAGATTCTGGTATATGGGATGATTGTTTCCTGAATTCGAATTTCCATTTTTACTTGAAATTGAAAACTATAAGAATTGCAATTTATTCGAGCGTCGCAGTTTTTCGAGTTACGTTTTTTGCTACTATTTCAGATGATGAACAAGGGACACCAATGCTATTGCGCTCAAAACGGGGCCGCAAGAAAAGTACTGTAACGGGTGCCGCAATGCAAGAATTTGTTGATACGGAGAAAGAGAAAATGCGCGCTTTAGTACATCAGACATTCTTGCAAAGGGTACAGATTTTCTCCAAAAATTTGTAAATTGTAAATTGTAAATTGCTTTTTCTGCAAATTTTGTAAATTGCTTCCTAAAAATTTAAGTCTTCATGTTTCCATGGAATTCAGACTTTTTTTAGTTGGAACAACTTCCATTTGCTGCAGCGGTAGCTATGGCACAAGGCGCCTTTCTTCTTCCATCACTTTTATCAGGTGGTGGAACATCTACGACAGGAGCATCAACATCAACTCAAGCGCAGGCAGCAATGCTTTCCAGTTTGTTTGGACTATCCTCTACCTCACCTCCAACAACATCTGCTTCTACCAGTGCCAGTAAAACAAATGAATATGGAGAGGACGTATTAAATTTGAGTACAAAGAAATCACCAAGTAACAATAACAGCAGTACAAGTCAATCATCCACTTCTGGAATCCCTGCTCCGCCCACAAATTTTTTGAATAGTTTGAATTTTACCGAGTTGTTTGCTCTGGCAAACCTTCCACCAGGTGAACTTTGCACTTTAATCTTGAACTCATAATGCAAACTGAGAAGTCAGTCCGCTTGTGAGTTCCTTTTTTGGACTATGAATTAAATCTTTTAAGTTGCTTATGGTTTAGTAACCGCATGTTTGTTTACTTTAGTATTTGAGGAGAAAAATGTATGTATTTTTTACTCTGTATAAAAAGCGAAAAAAGCTATATTGGGACATCTAAGCACAAAGGAAAGTTCGACCGTACATTTTTTTCAGAGACCCGTGTACCAGTAATTAATATTGAGACGGGTGCACGTTTGATTGGTGAACAAGCTCCAAAAGTGAAAAATCTTGGACAATGGCTGTCAGCACATCCCAAGTATGTGCTCGATATTCCATCGTCGGCATCTTCAGCAGTTCCACCAGTAGTATCTCAAGGAACATCCTCAAAACCGGCGGAAAAAAGTGATGTAAAATCTGTGTCAGCACAATCGGACAAAATTATTTCAAAGAAGGAAATCAGTAAAGACACCCATTCTAAGGTTTTCTCATAATGATTTCTATTTTTCCATAAATTTATTATTAAGTAAAGATTAAGTGATTTTAAGGACTTCTAATTTCTCAAGTGGGAAACCACTTCATTTATCAGAAATGATTCTTGTTGTTCAGGATCTTGTAATTCTATTGTTCAGGAAGTGCTTACGACCCAAACAGATTCAGCCTCATCGAAAGCAACAGCAACAGCACTAGTTTTGGAACCTGGTGAAGTTCCTCGCTCTTCTAGTACCACTGCTGTTTCATCATCATCAGCTTCTGTCACTTCACTTGGTATTACTGATCAGCGGGTCGCTGTTTTTCAACGTTCTAGTGGTACATTAGTTTCGGCCAATAAATGGCCACTGCTGAAGAATCTTGCTTCATGGCTCGATAAGCATCCGGATTGTAATGTACACTCAAGCAGTGCATCACTTGCTGCCGTGTGTTTTTAATTTTTGATCATGTTTATATGACATAACTTTAGGCATGCTTGTGGTATCGATTTACTCGATCTACGAATTATCAGTTTATTGTTTCTAATGACTGTCAGAACTTCACCAGTCATTTGTGCTGTTAAGCAGCAAGATAATCGTTTAAATAAAATATAGATGAGATTTTTTTTCAGACAGTTCTGCCGAAAAATTATACTGATCGTTTGGGTGATGACACGACAACATCCCTCTCTTCATCTTCAAATGGTTTGGAAGCTTTACAAATGCAAATGATGCTCCAACAATCGTTAATGAATCAAACGCTTCTTGGACTTGGGGCTTACGGACCACTTGGATCATATGCAATGCTTGCAGCTGCGGCATCTGGTTCTTCTCAGCTGGGCAAGGTTAGTGTCAATACGATGCTACATTGAAAGTAGTGAAGTTGCTTTCATTTTAATACTTTTCAACTTATGGCTTGATAATCGTTGCGGGTTAATTATTTCTTCCGGTAATTGGAATATTTAAGCGATTCATATGTAGTGATATATTTAGAAGTCTAAAAGGATGAAAGCAAATTTTAAAGGACGGGAGAAGACAGAAGAGAAACTCGGAAAAAGATGTCTCTGAGAAAAGTTACGTTATTCATTTTCTTTTTTTTAAATTGTCTACACTCAGTAGAAAGAGGCATCTTGTCAAGTTTGAACGTTTGTTGATCGACTGGTCTTGAATAAATTTTCAGGGTTCGTCGAAGGATGTGTTAAACCCGATGCTTGCATCACTAATGAATCCATCATTGCATTTGCAGCAGATGCAATCCCTGCTGACATTGGATCCATCACTACTTCTCAGTCAGCCGTTTTCTTCCATTGCAACAACTAGTAATACGCTGCCGATTTCTGGTTTAAATGTTTCATCCGTTACAAAACCTCCGAGTACTACTACTACCACAACAACTACTACTACTACCATCACTACTAGTGCTACTACTGTTTCCACTATCCCTATTATTACTACTGCTGTTGCTACTACAACTACTACTGTTACGACTACTACTACAACCACAACGGCGAAGAGAGCATCCAGCAGAGGTCGTCTGAATGCTGTCGTTGAGAAGCTGTCATCGAATCAGAGTTAATAATTGTCGATATGGATTTTCCTGATTTTCTTTCTATTAGTGATTTTCTTCTCAGTTCGTCGATATTTGCACAGAATGTATTCGGGGATAAGCAAAAAGGTGCAGTATTGAAGTGTCGGAAGGTTTCAGGTTCTTTTATTTGAACTGTATTTACAAGAAACTGAAATGAAAAAGTAGTAATGTACTTGATCACTATTGTATGCGAAAAATAAGCTGTTTTTAGGTAGCTTTGTTTTTATTTCGTAGTTTGTTGTCCGATCTCTAACTGTTTACAAATATACCTTTTCCTTGTTAGGTACCTATTATCATGTAATATTCTTTTTGTGTAATATGAAACGATTTAAATAAATGTACTCTTTTTGTATAAGAAAGTAATGTAAAAGTAAACTGACAGCTTGTATGATCTCGCTTATTCATTTTGACAGCGTTTTATGTAGGTGATCTGTACGATCTTTTACTACTGTGTTCTAGTTTTATATCTTGTATTTTTTCACTAATTGAGATTTTGTAGAAATGCAACTGTATTACTGAATCGGGAAGAATGCATATTCTAAAAAAAAAGCTTTTGTGTATTCCTCTTCCATAATGTAATGTGGACAAAAAGATCGAAGTCTTGCTCGAAAAAGAAGATTCTGATTTGATCTTTCCCCTTACAGATCTGTTATCAGATCTCTAATGAATGGTAATATTTGCACTTTTATCGCAAGATAACTTTTCGTCATTGTGCGAGCATGAGAAGGTCGGCTGAATTATAACAATGTATTTATCAAAATTAGTACTCTTTGCAGAATGAATTATCTTAGTTTGTGAAATCTTTTATTCAAAATTTATCTTACTGTAGGTGTTGGTGCTTGCGAAGTTGCAAAGATTTTTCAAATTTGATCAATCATTTTGTAAAGCTGTATCTTTCAGTATGAGCTGAGCCTGAGCTGATTCCGGCCACAGATGAACTTCTCCCCGCTCAATCAAACTATGATCGATTACTAGGAAATAAGACTGTGTAATTTATGTTTTTTTACGAGTCGCGAAATGATAGTTGTTAGATTGTACTGGTGCTTCTCGCTTGCTTCAAACTCCAGAAGGATGTCTTACCATGGATCAGTAATATTAACCCTTTGGTAATCTCATAACATTGGATTTGTAAGTTTAATGAGAGTGAATGTGCTGCAATCTCAATTTAACTTTTCAAACTGTTTATAATTCGATTGGCGAGATTTCTCCAAGATTTTTGTAACTGTCTCATTTGTTTTTGCATTGCTTTATGGTTAGTTTTTTACTGATTGATTGGAATTGTTTAGAGTAAATTATCGATTTTTTTAATGTTTTTATTTGAACATGAAATGTCATGTATTATCATTATATTTTAATTTAAAATAAATTGAAATTCGTACTGCATTAATATCCTTTAAATGAGTGGGTATTAATACCATTAAAAATATTTATGCTGTATTAATATGATCTGTATCGATTAGTTGAATAGCAAGTGAAAAGTGGAAATGCTCGGCGCTGCATGAGAAAAGCTAATATATTCAAACATGTTCACTATTATTAAGATGGGTCAGCATAATACAACAATGTACAGAACATCCACATATACATTTTCAATATTTCAGTAATGTGATACAATAGTTCTGGTTAAGAGATGTTAATCAACAAATTTAAAAATGATATCGAGAAGTATTTTTATTTTTTCAACAAAATATCCTGAATTCTTGATTTTTGATTCTATTTACGCAAATGTGTTAAGTGATAGATTCGATTTCATTTAGCTTTCATCGGTACTAGAGAAATCGATATTCTGCTCGGGGTATTAGTTTGTTATTTAGATGACGTAGGTTGTTGTTTATGTTGAGCATTTCCTCCAGTTCTCTAATCCTAGCTATTCATTTTGCGTGTCGTAGAAGTGTTAAATGGAGTATTCTCTTTTTAAAGATCTCTCGAGCTCTTCTACTCCATCATGAGTCGTCTACATTTGACCTCAGTTTATTTTCTTATCTTTACCCATAGATCTCTCTATTATTGATCAGATGAGGTAGGAATGATGATATTAGATGACCTAGAAATTTGTATTTTTTGCTGATGGCGTGAGCAATTTTGCCAGTTACATCAGAGTGATTGAAGTGTTTCATTAAGAGGGTGAGTGTTTTAGCTATAATTGATAGTGATGATACTATCAGAGTTGTTTAGTTATTGAGGATGGATACATTAGTGATGATAATAAGGATATTGAAAGTTAGAACTTAAAGAATTCAGGAAATTAGTTACCATTGCTGGTTTATATCGATGAATGTAGCATTAGTATTTTTCGGTCTAACTTGACTATTACGATTAATATAGAATAACAACGAAACAATCTTGATGTGCATTCTATATTCTATAAAAGGATAATAGAAGTAGTAAGAGCTTGAAAGGATGAATGAGACCATTTAAGATACTCAGACTCTGAAATCTATCACTATAAATATTAGTATGAACAGTTTCTGAGTTTTCTTTTAATTTTTTTATTTTATCGTAGCTTGATCGATTGATAGTGCTAAATTACAATCCAAACAGAAGTATAAAATCCCTTTTTGCTCTTTCTTTTCTCATCATTTTTTTAATAGAATGATGGGTGTTATACGGAGTAGTAATAAAATATTTTTCGAATCTTCCACTGTTATTGATATGTGCTTTATTACTGCAATAATCTGTGATGACTTTTCGAAAGGAAGTATTGGTCATTTAAAACTAAACATCACGTTGGCATTATTATTATTAAATTTCTTTAGATCATATTTTCCTCTAATTCTTCGTTTGATGTATAGGAGATGAATGAAAGAAGCCCACAAACTATTGGATCCATTATTGAATACATGTGCATGGTAGCATATCGGAAATTTATTACAAGAGCTCGGGGGGAAACAATCCGAAAACGGTAAGTAACTTTCGGGTTGACTCTCCAGTTTTGAGGTTGACTGTCAAATTTTATAGTTGATTGTCAATTTGGAATTCAAGCACTGGTTTGTTTGTCAGTTTTGTGGATGTAACAGAGTAGTGTAACAGTGTGTACACTGTGATGAATCTAATTAAAAGGAATCTACGCAATTCTATGCGGCTGAGAATTATTTTTAGCTTGCGGTATTATCTTTGGACTCGATCTTAGTTTTATTGAAAATTGTACTCTTAAACTTTGTGATTTCTTGCTAAAGTGACCTTGTTTGTTTAAGCTGACATTGCATTAGTTACATGAATATAATTTTTTAGTTAACATTGGAACTATTTATTTGTGTTTTTGCACTCGTAATTCATGATTTTGAAGTCAGTTTTCTACGCGTTGCAGTTTGCTTTTATTCTGAAAAAAACTAATATAATTTTAATAACTTCACATTTTACGTATGATTATAAACTATCTTTAGGTTGCTCAATAAAAAGTTTCTTTTCGATGTGTCAGACAAGGAAAATATGCAAAGGTTAGAAGGCGGTTTTTTGGGAGACGTAGAGGCATACGAGCTAAAAGGCTTTGTTCAAGATGTAAGTGGATTCTCTTGTCTCTAGTAATCCTCTGACGACCTTTCAAGTTTTTGGACGAAATGTTGTTTTACAGCTGCGTAAACGTGGAATTGCGCATGATGGTCCAGATGGTATACATATACCTGCCTTGGACACAATGGGTGAACCAACAGAAGAAGATGACGCTGCCGGTAGTAGCAACGATGCGCCTGTTAGCGAAGCCGATGCGATTCTTAAAGATGCAGCCACACGGGCAGCTCTTGCTAGAAAAATTGGGTAAAAGCAAACAGCTCCTTCATCATTCTTTATTGAATTTCAACGAGAAATGTTCATTTGTGATAACTCCCTATGCTAATTTCATTTTTCAGTTCCTCCAGTAAAGTGCAGCGGACATCGCCAAGCAAACTTCGAGCATATTTTGAAGTTGCTGATGCTACACTCACTGAAGTCCCAATTCCAGTTCGTTTTTTCTCATTTTATCCCTCATTTACTGAAATTACATATTTAGTTTCTTCTTTTACTGACAGCAAGCATTTTTATCGGCTTGAAATAAAACATTTGCTGACTTTTCGAGATGGTCACTTCAAAAGGAAATTGGTAAGAGCTTCCTGATCAGAATATATGCATGTCTTATCATTTTTCGCTGTTGATCTTAGTCAATTAACGCTAAGAGAACTTGTAGGCTTTATATTTCTTCATCATTCAAACACTGTTGTTCTCCGCTATGATGTGCAAGTCTAAGCGCTATAAATTACAGATCATTTTTCTTTGCAGCAAATAGATTAATTTTTAGTAATTGCTTTCTTTCTTTGCAAGACTTATTCTAGTTTCATTTCGTTTCCACTCTTCATATGCTGTTTTAGTTTTTTACATGTTCTTTCTGAGCTTTTGAATGATATGAATATTTTATGAAACAAATTAGTTTTGTTATATGTGCTTGCTAAAATTGTCAGTATTTCCAGAATGAGAAAGAAGGCGTTCCGCCAAAAGAAATCATTATCAAGAAATCAAAAGATGATGATAGAACCAATGACGAGAATCAGCAAACCGTTGAGGATGGTTTGCCATCAAAACGTGCACGGTATTGTTGAAGGATTCTTTTTGTTATCCTGTTCAAAACTGCCTTTTTTTCGATTATTACCATTTTAATTAATGTCATGTTCTTTTGACTCGTGTTTCCATGCTCTTCTCAGCGTTTGCAAGCGTTTCTGTATGGTCTCGATTGCTCTGTCTCTACATAAGGAATTCTATGATCTTTCAAGGTTAAAAGCGTGGAACTGCGTTATTTGTGTGGAAGAGTCCTGAGAGATTTCGAACATGGTTTGTTGTCAATACAGATTTCGAGATATGTCATAGTTAGTTAATTTGTGTACATGTGTTCGTATAGTCGTCGTCTATTTTGCTAGCAATTTTACCAGTTACGAGTAAAAGATCTCATTTATAGGCAAACAGACAGCAATGTTCATCCATTAAAAATATTAAAAAATTTTTAAAAATTTTAGAAATATGTGTAACGCAAAACAGCGTCTCCTTAAGTCTTTCTTGTTTAATAATTTATAGGATGATGCGAGCTTTCGTTATCCATTTGCATCCTTTTTTCTCGAAATTTAGCGATTTCTGGTGAAATTTTCATAGCTCTCTCTTTTGTATAATAATTATATTTCGTCTTTATTATGTTTCGCTATTCTTTTGCTAACGAGACAGAAGGATATATTTAATGCAATCAATAACTCCGATCTCATTTTTTATGTAATCGTCTGCTGGCATTTTTTATTAGAAAAGTACTTCAGTTGAAAATTTGAAAAACTTTTGATGAAAGTGCATTTTAATATTTGATAATTACTCTATTTTGATGACTGACAGGTTAAGGAGTTCATTGACGTGCTCGACTAACCACTTTTATCGTGTTTGATTGATGCTACACCTCACTAGATTTTGATATTTTCAAAAAAAAGTAGTAATTGATTCGCAATAAGAAATATTGATTTTAAAAGATTTGGAAAAAAAGAAAAGATTTTTCTAAAAAAGTTTAAATTTCAGTAGAAGATAACATTAACTAATGCTGATAAAAATGGTAGTCGTATACGGAAGTAGTATGAATAAATCCTAATTATCTGTCATCCGAATGAGAATAATAATTATTTTTCAAATGAAAATTTTTGCTTTCATCAGAAGTTACCAAACGTTAGTATTATCATCGTTTGATGTTCTACACGGGCTGTTGGAACCTCACTGTTCGAACCTTAATTCAAGATCTAGAAATCATTGAGGTATTATTGTATGTATGGTTCCTATTAATTTATTCTTGATTTACTTCATTATTATTCAACTCTTTCTATCCTAGTTCTCTCCAAATTCTTTGGTACTACAACAAATATCTATTGCTAATGTAATAATTATTGTTCTCTTTCCTTCAGTTGTTGAATTTCAAATCCTTGATTTTTATGTTATTTCTCGGAAATTAATTATCTTCTGCTCTAGTTATATTCATTAATTTAATTTCCATATAAACTACCTTGATATCATCATTGTTTATGTACTCAGGCTTACAGTCTCCCTTTTAGAAATTTAATTATATCCTCTTCTATCACTCTCCGTTTTTGAAAGTATAATCTATATCCCCAAGTTTATTTTTTTCTTTCCTCCATATTTATAGCAAACATAGCAACATATCATACTAGCAACAGCAACGTTATGCCCATAAATTTTAGTACAAACACTGAGAAGACAGATTATCTGTTGTTGATTTCCTCATATTCATGAAATTATCAATATCACTTACTATCAATTGATTGTTTCGATAGAATTTACAACACTGATAAGAGATTGATCATTGGTTTCTTCACATTCGTGACATTACCAATATCACTTACTCTCTTTTGATTACTTTAATATAATTTATGCATAATACATTTTGCTTTACAAATCTTTTAATTTGAATCAAAATCTGGTCTCTTTTTTTCTTCCTTTAAGATCCCACTTAATAACATTATTCACCTATTTGTTTTTCAAATTTTCTGTAATTTATCTTTTCCCCTTCCTATCTCTCTTCCTCTTTCTCTCTCTCTAATTTCCTTCTTCTATTTATTTATAATTTAGTTGTAGAAAAGTATTATCTCCCTTATTATTTATGTGATTATAAGTCGATTTTCACGGGTATTACGATGCTTACATTTTCTTTTTGTTTGTTGCTTTCTTTCTCTCTTCCTCTCTCTCTCTGTCATCCTATCTGTCTATTTCTCTCTACCTGTACATAAAATTGAATTTATATTAATTGTAGAGATAACCATGCTTACCTTATTAGATTAACATTATCACTCAGAAAAATGTTTAGAAAACTATCGAATTTCCTTTGATGTTGTCCATATCGATGAAACAACCATAAGCATTTTTAGATGAGATGACAAATCGTTTATTTTGCTTGTGCCGCATTTGCCAACTAGCAACCGCCTTAGTTTCAAAATCATTTTCAGATTTTGTTTTTTTCATGTATAGAAAATAAGATCTCCGTTTTCCGTTATTTCTTTTTTCAACGTGGATCTGAGCTCATTGTTGTACAATAAAGGCAGAGGATTGTTTATTCCATTTTGTTCAAATAATTCTTACTTGATAATTTTACACATTTCATGTGTAAATATAATTTATTTGATACAATTGTTTGATCATTCTATCTTCAAACGAGTAAACAGGAAGAAACATCGCAAATGTTGCCAATTGTTGCAAATAAAAAGTAACTTTAAAGAGAGTACAAAATAGTAAATAATAACAAGTTTGCAGTAAGTGAAAGTAAAAACGGGACAAGTAATATTCACATATGATTAATTGATTAATTAATAATCAGTAATGATGTAATATACTTGTCGCAATTTTTTGACCAATCACTATTACATATTAACCATTGCTTGTTGTTGCAAATTGGTTTAAATTGTAAATATTAGTTTGAATTGAAAGTTAAGATTTCTTTACTTAAGCAGACAGTAAAATTACTTCCAAAAGTAAAGTAAAGAGTAGAGAGAAGAATAAAGAATTGTACTATAATATCGATATTTTGTGGTTATTTATTTATGGACCACTTCATCATTCTTAGTCAACGTATTCTAAGTCATTTTGAATCCGCGTTGCATCGGACAAGAAGTTAGAATTGAAACAATACAAGAAAGTTATGTTAGCATTTCCTTAGCTCTTGACAACTGTTGTAAAGAATGTCACATAGTTTTCTTATTTACATCCCTCCTATAAATAACGATTAAATAGTATTCCCTTGGATGATTCAATTTCCACTTCAGTTAGCTTTATCATGCTTATTTCATACATCATTTTGCTTAATTAAAATTTTCATAGTCAGTATCTTCTTCGATTTCCAATAATTTATATAGTTAGTTATCCAATGACATGTTTTCTGTTTAGTGGAATCAGTAGCCAAAGAAAGGATTTAGCAAGCAGCAAAAAAAATAAGGCTTTCTAGGCTTAGTTTCAATTTCTAGACAAAATATTTTGTCATATCAAATAAATATGATACAAGTGTATGCACGTACTTCACTATCACAAAGCTTAGAATTATGGTTTCTTAAATTCGGATTTTGCTTTTTGTTCGATTCTTTCGTTGAACAAATAATTGCACTAAATAATAAATACACATAGGTATATTATCAATCTAATGATGCATATATCAGGAATTGAAGAAATAAAGATCTGGCTGCTTTGTCTTCAACATTGATGCTTACTTTCAGAGATAAATTAATTAGATTTAAATAGTCTAATTTACTTACTCTACTCTATTTGAATTAAAATCTTATTATACATGAAAAGCTACTTTACATTAATCATCAAAAACAATATCAAATACTATTGTATTCCATACCTTCTCGGTAATTCCTAATACTTTATGAATATTAATTAGCCATACTTATTTCATAGTGCGAATTATGTTTAAATTATTCGTAATTTTAAATTTATAAATGAAATAAATATGTCAATTTCTTTCATTAACACAAATCTGTCAATGACTCACCAAATGTTTTGTTTTAAGAATGATTAATTTATTCATTTATAACAATTCCAGTTCCCAATCATTTTGATGGCATTTGAAAAATTTGAAGAATTTGAACTTCTTAACCTTTTAAAAAAAAAGTGTACTTAATATTTTTTCTGGTTTTCTATGCTTGTCTCTCTCAGTTGCTTACTTTTTCTTCCCTTCTACAATTTCTACTTGACAGTTTAAGCTATTGAAAAAATTGGAAATATGCAAAAAAGGATTTGTTTGAAATTTTAAGGAAGTAATTTATTTATTTAAGACTTCAATAAAAAATTGAAATTTTAATTAATTTATTTAATAGAAGAGATTCATCTCAATGTTTTATGAAAGAATTAAAAAAACGATAATTGTAAATATTTCCTTTAAATAATAAATATATTAATTTAATGCAAAATAATTAGTGCAATTAAAATACTCTGAAAATTTGTATGGATGAAAATGAATTGTTAATTTTTAGCAAAATTTTATTTCGTCAAGTTTTGCATAAATTTTTGTATAGGAAAAATGTATGTGTGTATGTGTATGTGTGTGAGATCTGTTTGTATGTTCCATTATGTTGCTTGAATTAATCATTTGGTAAAGAGGGAATGAAATGTCTGAATGAAATGATAAGATATCAATTATCAGATAATTTCAAGCATTTTTACTTTCACTGTACTTTCTTTTTAATTATTAAACTTTGTTTAAATTAATTTATGCTAAAGAAGTAAAGGATTCATTCGAAAAAAAATGTATTAACTTTTCTTTATGACAAAAAATATTTCCTAAAAGAAGAAGTGATCGCTTGTTAAGGTATAAAGCAATGGTACTTCACATTTATCATTGAAACAAAACATCTAATAATTAAAGCATATAATTGAAGCACAGATGAAATAATATCATAGAAGAAAGAACGATAAGAAGTACTCTTTAAATACATTATTAGAGCACCTTTTTTTTCCAGGAAGAATGAAATGAAAAATCTAAAAATTTAGTAATTAAATTAAATTGTAATGACAAACCAAATTTTCAATTAGAAAGCTTCAAAAAAGAATTCGTTTTATTTTTTTTGAAAATTATATTGGCTTGAAGAAAATCAATTAATTGTATTATTTTAAATTCAAATCAAATTAATTTAGAATTTTAAAAATGTTGTGGATAATTTCAGTGATGTAAAAAGCTTTCAACTGATAAGCACAAATCATTAATCACAATTGAATTAATTTTTAACTAATTCTACCTAATTGTTTAATACATTCAAGAAGCTTTTGCCCATTTCAGATCATCAGTTCGAGGTTTCATTCCAGTCAATCCGGTAACAATAAATTCGGCAGCACGCCAAAAACCAATCGCATCAAGCGGTCCATTTAACCAACCGGTAGTAATGCAATATCCACATGCATGTGGTGAAATATGATGATATTTATGGCCTTTACGTGAAAGTATCACATGCCAATTCTGCAACATTTCCACCCACGGTGATAAGCCAACATATGTATGTGACCATTTATGAATCTGAAATCAATTAAAATTTTTTTGTTAAAAGAAAGATAACAAATCGAGACATTCATTTTTGAAATTATAAAAAATTTTTTTTTCCATTTTCTTTTGGATAAAGAATATTTTATTCAGGAGCTATCCTGAAATTCAAAGTAACTTAATCCCAAAATGATTTCAGTTGTCAAATTATATCTATTCGATTTATTAAAATATCAGCCTGAATGAATGGATATTTCCACTCTCTATTTGAGCATTTACGATTATTACAAATTTCATATTAGAATGAGATATTAAAACTAAACTTCCCGGAAGATACTACGCATAATGTTAACAATAAATTTTCATTAAATTATACATTTATGAAATTCATCATACCTGATTGGTAAGCGCAATATAGATTGCCAAAAATAAATAAAACCAATGCGATAATGTTAAAGAATCTAAGTCAGAAGCTGATAATGTTGCATGCTGATAAATAATATATGTGAGCATTGGTATTATTAATAAAAAATTATCACCGTTACATTCAATGAAATCATGACGTGTTATAGCTGTAGGATCTACATGATGCTCACGAAATGGTCGAATAAAATGCTGAAAATTTGTTGAAATTTGAAAAATTTTTTATTGAATTATCGATTTTATTTAAAAGTAATTTTGTTCAAATATGATAATTTTAAAATTTCAAAAAAGATAAGAAATTTTAGCATATTATGATGGTAGAATTCATTATCATCGCATGCATCACAAAATTTCTATCATTTATCTTTTTACAATTATCATAGAATATTTAGAAATTACAAATATAGATGGAGTTATAAGACAGGTAGATCGTTAATTAGGAAACAAATGAAAGTTAAGGTTAATTATCTTGAAAAGAAATTTGTATCTCATTAGTTCAAGATTAAATTTTCAATTATTTAAATTTATTAAAACATCCTGAGAAGAAGAAAAAACGAACTCTGCCGATAAATGTATCAACGGTACCGAAAGAATCAGCAGCCCAATGCACCAAACCGGATAATAAATCAGCTGTTAAAATGCCCAAAATAGCAAAGAATAATACATAAGGCAGAGTGTACACTTCAAACCGCCATACTAATAAATATATAACAACGAGTAATTCGATAATACCCAATCCGGTTGAAATCATTTCTTGCAATCGTTTTTCTGAAAATTGCATTCATTGAATTGTGAATTGAATGAATTATTGATTGTATTATATTTTTAATCAATGCATTATTAGTTTCAATCCCGATTGTTGCGATAAATCCCTTTAAAAATCATAATTGGAAAATTTCGATTCCCAAAATTTTGATTCTAAAAAAACAATGATTCGAGATTTCTCAGTCGATTCGAGATGTTCATTTGGTATAATAAATTTAAAAGTAATATTATATATTATTTATTTTGCTATCTCACAAAATTTTTAATTTATTAAATGCTTATTTGAACGGAATTAATGTATTTATTGTGGCAATAAATCCACGAATAAAATTGAACTTTATGATTTAACGCCTCTTCTCTCCTCATAAGTTGAATTATTTTTTAACTATTTCAATCTTTTTCCTACACTATTTCAATTTATTCTTTGTTTCACTTATTTAATTAAGAAAAAATTCACCTCGACTATAAAGAGCAATTAATTTCTTGGCACCACTATGATGTCGTCCCCAACGTGGTTTAAAAACGCTTTCTGAATTAGCAGCACTTTCATTCGGATCATCATTTTTCGGCATATCATCAACTCTTGCATTTATCATTGCTTCATCTTTAGTTTCGTCAAGCGCTGATCGCTGTTGCATTGTTGTATGATTTTCATCCATACAGCAAAACCAATAGAAAGATCTACAATGATAAAGCATAGAATTGAATAACATATTGTAATCGTAAATTAAGTGTAATTAAGAAATTAAATTAAATAAGAAATATAATTTAAAATAGAATTCAACAATTATTCAATTCAATCATTTCACAATGGCTAAATTAATGAAATATTAGTAAAATAAATGTAAAATTATTTGAATATGTCATTCCAAAAAAGAACCAAAACTATCATCCATTTGTGAGAGATAAACAAAAATGTAAATTATCCGTCAAATAAATAAACTAACTGTAAACAATGTAAATAAATCCAAAAACAAATTATCTATTGTTGTGACAGAAAAAAGAAAACAAAATTATTCAGAAATAAACAATATTCTTTCAACAAATAAGTAAACAAATAAACAATGAATTTTAATAGTATAATCTAATAATAAGTAGAAAAAAAGGAAAGCGGAAGAGGTGGAAACAGAGGAAGAAGAAGTAGACGAGAAAGAAGAAAAGGAGGAAGAAGTAACATTTAATAAAAGCACGAATAGTCAGTCGATAAGTAAAACTTTTCAGCAAACACTAATTGAAACTGAAAAGATGCTTTGCTTGCATTATATATGTATATATATATATGTGATGATAATGGCGATCTGATAATGACGGTGATGGTGATGGTGATGGTGATGGTGATAGTGATGGTGAATAATACAAAAAATTGCCAACTGACAATAATGTAGCAATTGGCTTATTTCAATGATTAATTGAAATTGATGAACTTTCACCAACCATACACTTCAATCAATAATTACATAACTTTCATTAATTATTTTACACTGTATATTGTTTGAAATAAATTATACATTCATTAATTCTTCATACGATTGATATCTCTACTATACTACTTTACTTCATTGTTTAATTATTTTTAATTTAAAATGAATGAAACAAAACTTTTGAATAAATAGTATTATTTTTAATTGTAAAAAAGAAAAAGACAAAAATGGTATCATTTCAATTTAAAATATTAAAAGAAAGATAATAATAAAATAATTTGAGTGAAGCAAAAATTTTTTTTATAAAGTTTTTTAATGACACACACACACAGACACAGACAGACAGACACACACACACACATAAAAGCAGAATGTTTATTAAATATTCAATTTAAATTGAAGTGCTTTCTGAATTTCTTTCTTCTATGAATTTCATAATTTATTTCTATTCCTTTCTATGCAACTTATTAATTACTAAAATATGCCATTTCAAAATGATTGATATTTTAAGAAAATAAATGTATACTTATTTATATAATATAGTTTTATTTTCCTAAATTTTAATTCGAATAAATTTATCCTTTTTATTTTAAAAAGGAATATATAATTTATAAAGAGTAAATTTTATGAAATGATAAATGATAAATGATAAATGATAAATGTTATCTTATGTAATTATCAAATAAATATAGGCTGGATAGACATTAGCTAAATTCAAATAAGCTTAAAATCATTTCAAGTTTAAGTGCCTCTTCCAAGTATCTTTTAGTATTACTATTAAAGATTGATAATAAATAAAATGATAATTACTAATTGAAATTAAACCAAACAAATTACTACAAAATCAATAAATCAATCATTTTAATTATTTAATGTAATACCACTATGGATTATAGAAAAAAAAGTGATAGAGATAGAATAGATTAGTAAGATAAAACTATGAAATTAACAAAATTTAATATTTTTGAAAGCAAAATATTTGTTTACTTTTTTTTGTAAGCAAAATAAATGATAGGAAATAAATGGCATTAATGAATTCATAAACAATTTCATATGCAAATTATTTTAATATCTTTTTCAATTCAAACAGTAATTGCCTCTCTCAACAATAATAAGTTTACAGAAAAGCACATATTGCACTTATGGGAATTATCACATATTGTTGCATATTGCACTTATGCAAATTATTACATATTGTCGCATATTACACTTATGCAAATTATCACATATTGTTGCATATTGCACTTAGGCAAATTATCGCCTTTTCCCCGAGGTTATTTAAAAATTCTTCCGCAATTTTTATTATTTTCTCTTTTTCCTCCAATGGATCAATCACAAAATGCTTCCATCAATGTTGAAAAAAGTTTTTGTTTTTTTCTCTTCCTTATGGCAGTATTTCTTCGAATATTCAAACATTTCATATTTTATTAATATTTCTTTTACTTTAAGAAGTAGTTTAAAAATAAAGGATGAAAATTAAAGATTAAATAAGCAAAAATTTTCAAATCATTTAATTTTATAAGTGCAAAGGTCAAATTTGAAATGATATGACTAATTGAATTACTCTCATTCATTCTTCTTTTTCAAACAATTTGTTTATGTAAAATTGCTCATATAAACTTTGGATCATTTATTTTAAATTGACAGTATCTTTGCTAATATTATATACATATATGAATTCAAAATTTTTGAAAATCATTAACATTAACTGAGAACATCAAATAATTATTATAAATATTCCATCAAATCAGAAGAAGAAGAAGAGAAAAGAAAAATTCTATCATTTATTTTTTAAGTGATAGAATGACAATTTAAATTTCAATAAGTTATTTCATTTCAGACAATTCCAAAAATTGATTTCATTTCAATCAAACAAATCTAACGCTTATTTAGAAGATAGTGAAATCATTGAACGAATATATCTTATCGATCGTTGATAATTTTACGACTATTGTTTGTCGAAAATTTTAAAATGTGGCAGAATGAATGATATAAAATGTAATAATATTACATTTCTATAAATTATAATAGTATTTGCATATCAATGATACTAATTGTGGATTTAATTCTTTTTTAAAAAAATTTTTTTCCCTTTATGAATAATCATAAAGCTTTTAATAATTTCCATTCATCAGTCTTTAAAGCATCTGTCTTTAAGTTCATTTATTTCAAAGTCATTATATCAATGAGCTGAGAATTCTCATTAAATCTAAATTATGCATTTTAAATAAGAATTCATAAATCGTAAATAACAGAAATCATTTAAGAAATGCGACCAGAAAATGAAGCAATGAGAATCGATCAGAATGAATCAGAATTGACAATAATATGATGAAAGTTTTCGCTAAACTATAAAGCATGCTGAATAAAATGTTTAAAAATATGAAAATATTTTATTTTGAGTAGTGTTTAATGGCATTGATAGTGATAGTAATGATAAAGTTAACGTTATCATTACGTTTATAAACTTCATACTTCCTTTCTACCGCAACGTTGTAATTTTTCGTAATGATCAATCATAACACTTCTTTTTTTTTTGATATTATTGATAATTTATTGAAAATATAAATATCCAGAAAGTTTCTGCTTTCTCATTTGGCCACAATTTCATCTTATCGACCGCACAACCGATACTTCAAATAGTTCCATTTTGTATAAAGTTATGATGAAATGCGGGGGTGGATGGCAAAATTCAAGCGCAATGTGTCATTCACATTGATGATTCATCACAATGAATGAATTGATAAAATGTTGTGTAAATATGAGTGTAACACATTTGGAAATAACTGCAATAGCGATCAGCAAAGGTTCAAGGGTTTCGTCTGAAGAAAATGCCATCATAAAGTTGATGGATGATGAAGTTGACGATAAAGAAAGAGTAAAGTTTAAATTTCATTAAAATAATATTTAATCGACAATAATGAAATTGTGAATGTTTTTTGGAAAGGTGAAGAGAAAGGTATGAAAAGAATTTTTAAAGATAAGAATTGAGAAAAGGTGAGAAATACGTCAAAGTGAGACTAATTTAAACTTCCCTAAAAGGCTTTGTACTTTGTTTAAGTAAAGCCTTAAATAGGCTGGATGCAAAAAGATAGAATTAAATATCAATCGCAAATTCATATCTTTTAGAGTAACTTTCTAAACGAAGTATAAAAGGAAAAAAATTGATACGATGCTAATATGGAATGATAGTGACAATTTATATTTAATCCTATCTCTTTAAAATGAGTGCATCAAAACAGTCCTTAAAGCACGAATTACCAAATTAAATGAAACAAATGCAATATAAGTAAAAGAGAAATGAATAGATAGAAGTAGATAGATGAAGATATTGCAAAATAACCTATGACTTTTATTACTGTCGCGATAAATCGGTTTACTGACCATCTGATGTTTCAGAAGACAGACCTTGTCGAAGACCTGAAGAGATGTAATGTAGTTGAAAGGGATGATAAGAAAGAAGAGAAAAAAAGGAATGATTATGATAAGAAGTGATTGCTTACTATACCCATCTTCAATATTTACCAAAAATATCGTTGCCCACATTTATTGTTTATTCGTCGTCTATGTTAGCAAGGCCATATTAGCATATATTAATTATTCAACTAATTAATTAATGCTTTATCCATTGTTATATTGGAGAATTTAAATTTTATTTTTATTAATTTCTATTCTGATTTATTATGAAATAATTTCATCCGAATTTAACATTAATTCTACTAATTTCAAGCTGAAATTAACTTTAATTTCACTTAATTTAAATCAATGAAAGAGACAAATTATTTAAACAGAAATTTTACAATTGCCTAATACAGAAATATATGTACAAAATTCAGTAGAGAAATATATCACTGATTGTTTATTGAAAACAAGCATTTCAAATATTTATCAAATGAGAGCCAAGTTTAAGTGAGAATTAGTCTAAGCATGGCCTAAGCATTGCTGTGATGCTAAGATAGTTTGGATCCGCTGACTTATCAATTGTTCATATATTATTTTGAATATTTTTATTTCATTTATAAGTACAACATATTCCCACTATTTACTCCAACATCTTTTTTCATAGATCTTATCAGCACGAGTAATCAATCGTTTATCACCAACGCAAAATTATTTCATCTAATATCCTTTCGCTTATCAGTTAAAAGCTCTTTTTGCATTGAGTGAGAAGTCATCTTAAGATAGTTTGATAGGGAAAAAGAAGAAAAATGTTGGGCAGAGAATGGATCGCTTTTTCAAATTTTATTTGCTTGAATGATTTAAATTTTATATTTTCATTTTAACTGATTTTCATTCCGATTAGCTGTGAAATAAATTCATCCAAAATTGATATTAAATCGATTTACTGATTTCAAATTAGAATTATTTCCAATTTTACAATATTTTATTTGAAAAAAAATGTCGATATCTTTTAATTGAATATTAGCAGAAGAAGAAGTAACAGATACTTTGGTGATACTTTTTTCTTACATAAATTGAATAAATTAAAATTAGTTAATCATTTATGAATCATAGAACTAATAATGTTGTTAAGACAGACAATCATTATTTATGTTATCAAACATTTCTTTTTGAATATATTTATTAGAAAACTTTTTTGATAAACAATTTGTTAAATCATTAAATATAAAAGAAATGATAAAATAAACTAAAATATGAATAATAATAAAGTTTCGCTTTCTGAAAAACAATTTCAAATATTTTAGATCCCTTCTTTTTACAATACTATAAATGAATGATCTTAACAATATGGAATGATTCGTTCAGTTTACAATTCAATCAAAACAAGGAAGAATAAAAAGGAAAAAAAGGGTTATCCGAATATTTCTTAAAACTTCGTCGAAATATTTAGGAAATATCAGTAAGGTTTATCACTTATTGTTGATTGATATTAAATGAATTAATCATTCATTTATTTAATTTTAACTCCAAGAACTGATGTTTAATTTTGAATATTCTAAAATTAATTGATAAAATAATCAATAAAATTGTTACTTTCATTTATTTCACTACAGATAATTTGCAAAATAAATTTCCACATCAATTAATAATTCGTTTAAAATAAATAAGCAAACAAACAAACAAAAAAGGGAAAAACTTCGACGTGATAAAGTTTATTTTAATGAATACTGGAATAAATGGTGTCAAGAAATGGTGGTGGTTCAGAAGCTTTTTGAAATTTTGAACGTATCTCATCTACTGACCAGTTTACTTCCAACGATTCCATTAGAATACTTCGAGTTTTCTTTCGAATTCGAACACCATTACTGATTGTTGATTCACGTTGTTGCAATGGCACACGTGGTCCTACATCATTCTTTATATGCGTTGCAGTTACTTCAATATTGTTACACTTCTTAACTTCTTTTTGAATCAATGATTGCTTTGGTAATTTTGATGGAATTCGATTAGTGTTTGTAGCTTCTACTACCTTCCTGATCTCATTAGCTGTTGAATAACGAAGTTCGACTTCCACTTTGCCATTATGGTTACGATTTTCTGGATTAGTCCTGATTGTAGTATCTTTAGAATTATTAGCATCAGTTGTATTGGAAATCAAATTAAGATCTATTACAGAAGCGTTATTTTGCTTCAAGTCTGATTTATGTGGCGGTGACTGCCTAGATAATAGTTTTGATGCAGTCGTTTCTGCGCCACCAATACGTTCTAATGCACGTCGTGCCAATATTTTATTGTGAGTATTACTTGTACGAAGAATTGGTGATGCTATCAATGGCATCTGAAATGATTTCGTTTCTAATAATGCATTTTCCTCATCATCATGATGATGATATATACTTGCATCGTCAACATACCATATTTTACCTTCCGGAAATGAATATTTACGGGCTACATTATGACGTACACTAGATGGTCCAGGTTCATTATTGCTATTTTCCGATTGCCGTCTGAATGATTCACGTCGTGTTTGTGCAAGAAGAGATTCCTTACGTCGTATTACCGGAGAATGTGAACTGGTTTCTAAATCTTTTCGTCTGGCTAAAGGTGAATTCAGGCCTTGTGTTTCCACTTCTCTTCGACGAGGCGGAAGTGGTGAAGCAAAATGAATTCCTGAATCAATCACTGAAGTTGCTGTCTTTCTTTGCACGATGGGACTTCTTTCTGCACGTTTTGAACTACCTCTACGTAACAGAATTGGACTTTCAGGCAAATCTGTTGGTACTGATGTTTGTAGGGTTGAATCAGAATGTAGCGATGCTGTACTTATTGTTGAACTTTTCCGTGCTAACACTGGACTTTCTGGATCGAATGTAACAGATTTCCGATTGGATGAAGGACTACCATCTAATGTACCTGATCGACGAAGTGATGCTGGACTTCCTTCAATTTTTCGTCGACATGGTGACGAAGTACCAAATTCTCGGCGAGATTTCCATTCTGTACATCGTTTGTCACCATTTTCATCACTAATAATTGTATTTCGCCTGGATGAATTTGAACAAATTGATGGACCACGTGAGAATGACTTTTCTTCAGTTGAACAAATTGATGGACCACGTGAGAATGACTTTTCTTCAATTGAACAAATTGATGGACCACGTGAGAATGACTTTTCTTCAATTTTTTTCTTCTCATCTTTTTCCCATTTCCATACTGGTGTTATTGATTTATTCTGTACATCCGAGTTTTCACGTGAAAGTACTGGCGTCTTATCATCATCTTCCGGTTCTACTTCTGTACCAATTTCCTCTTCCTCTTCACCCTCTGTTGAAGTGCTGTTACTTACAAGATATCCTGCAAATTTCTTTCTTTGTTAAAAAACCAAACATATCTTTATTCTCGTTCCTCTCCTTCTTCCTCAATAAATTTTATGGTCATGTTCAATAGTGTAAATCAGTGGCGGCGGCTGTTATAATTATTAATTGATAAGCGTAATTATAATGAATGAAATTTTCGTCTAAAGGTAAAACATAAAGAATGAATGATGAAGTTGTAAGAAAATTTTAAGTTTAGAAAGCATTACTGTTCACAGTATTTCACAGTACTTTTCACAGTACTTTCATGTTATATGATAAAATTGTCATTGATTAACTTCATTAATTAGTCGAAGAATAACTTTATTTTATTACTAACCTGAAGATGATGTTTGTAGAGGACGATGTTCCCATTTGCTATAAGTTAACTTGGGTGATTGTGATACACCCAAGGAACAACTAGATACAGGTGATCCAATTAAACCGGAATCTGAATTACTAACCGATGTTTCCAAGCACAAATCAACGTCCGATAATCCTTAAAAATAAAAGTTTCATTTATTTTACAAATTTCATGTTGAAAGCAAAGCTTCATTAATATTTAAAGGAGTCTCTTCTTTTTTTAACTGATCTAATAATAAAATATATAAACCGGAATCATTGGAAACGGATGACGAAATAGCAAGTTGAACATCCTTGAACGGTTCAAGAAGGAATGGTGCATTGACAATAAGATATTCCGCCAAATCTGGTAGCCAACTTGTAGCCGAACCTCCTTCTTCAAAAATAGCATAATGAATAATTATGATGCATTAACTTGTTTTTAAAAACGTGTGAAAATTTAATTGAAAGATCGGAATCAATCCGGAAATTTCTCCGTTACAATTTTGAAATAATTAAAGACATATTTGACAGAATAAATATCATTTGTCTAATATTTTTGTTCCGAACTCCCACACTGTGAGGTTACTCAATTACCAATAAAGATCAAATGAAAAGTTTGCAAGAATTTTTCATTTGATCTTTTCTGCAGAGATTCTTAGAATCTATTTAATTCACGTGCCTAATAAGGTTATCAGATAATTTAAAATAAATAAACAAGCTTAGGCAGGCCTATTTGTATTATGCAAAGATATTATGCCAATTATTAAACTAACAAGAAAAGAACGTATAAGTGTCTTCAGACTTAAAAAAATCCACAAAGAGAAAAGTTTTACTGAAAAGGAACAAATCGACTCACTCGGATTGTCAAGAAGACTGGGCGCAACACAAACAGCTAATGATTGAGCAGTCATTTTTGATTGTGGCGAATTTGCAATTGCTCGAAGTAATCGAAGAAATTTGGAAAGAAGAGCGGAATGTGAGGATGGTAGCATATGCAACAGTCTGCGTACAGCTTTTTGACAATCAATCGTTTGTTCCATTGCTGATGCCCATAACTCGAAATTTCCCGATAGGAGTAACTTCCCGGGGATTTCTCGAAGATATTCCTGAAATAATAATTAAAAACGGATTCCTATTCACATTTAGTTTCCAATTCTAATCATTTTTAATTAGAGATTATCACGAAACCATATATACACTATCATGTTAATACGCTTACTTTCAGAAGAGCAGCGGTGACATGTGGATTAAATTGATAGAAATCCGGTACTGAACCGCGATCAAGTTGCGCCCGTAGCATACGTACAGTACTCTGTTTGGGTGATTTTCGGAATAAACCTTCGATGTCCACTCCATGAAGCATCAAATGGTCAATCATTGTTAGCACTGGTTGAGGCGGCGATGAACCTTCCAATGGTCGTCCAAAGAAACGTCGAGATTCTGATCGACTTAATACACGTCTTGAATAAAATACTATTAGAGTTGGAATTGTCCAATTATTTTATATGTTAAGATTGCTGTCTGTACATCGAATATGATCATATATCATTAAGAGGGGATAAATGTTCACTTTTGATATTAGATGTTTAATTTTATATGTTAAAATAAAATAGCTGAATTTGAAAAGACTTTCTCTTCTTTAAAATAACAAAACTTTTTTCCAAGATAAAAAGTATCCACGATTTATCAGATTATTTTGCTGTTTAGATCAATTTTAAATCAGTTCAATGTTATACTTGAAATGTGAAACAATGGAAGATGTCGATGAATGACTGTTGCCAGCAGAAGCTAACACTAAACGACATTGAATCAATGGTAGTGCATCGATCTTTTCCAGTTGTATTTCAGATAATCGATAACCAGTATTCTTAACATGTTCCATTACAATACAAAAGACACATTCGGGTCCTTGCAATGTGCTAATACCATCTCCATTACCCGCATCAAATGATAATTCTACTTCTTCCTCCACTGGTATAGCTAATTCATTAACAAGCTCGTGCAAAATTTCATTTGTCGTTTGCGATATGCCAATTTTCTTCTTCATCACCTAAAATAGTATCAGGCTTAATTCACTGCGAATTCTGGTGATATCAGGCTTAATTCACTACGACTTCAACAATATCAGGCTTAATTCACTACAAATTCTAACAGTATCAAGCTCAATTTATTGCGAATTCCACACTCATTTGAATTTCTGAGACAGAAGAGGCAATGATTGGTGCTTATTACTATTGTTTTACCCATTTTAATTTGCAGGCTTTTTTAAAATTTTAATCTTTCTTTTAGAATCGAAACGATTGAGTGAAACATTAAATGATAAAAACGATTCATCATTTGTTTCGTTAAAGAAATGCGCAGTTGTGCCTTACTATTATCGTCGAATAATCAATCTTCATTTGATGTTATGAAAATATTTTAATCAACTATCAATCAAAATGAATGTTTTAAATTTTTATTTAACAACGGAAAATAATTCCGTTTTTCTTCTCAATTTGAAAAATTTAATTTTAAACGAAATAATGAACAAAGAGCGAATAACGGTTAAATTATGCATTTCATGCGAAATATCTTAAGTATTGCGATTAATTAATTCATTAGATATTGCATAAAGAATTTTATAACCAAATGAAAATCTCATCATTCATGCATAATGATAATTTATGTCAATTTAACAATGAAAGAAATACCGGAAAATTTATTCCGGAAAATTTCTTAATTGATAGTTTATTGAATAAAAATGTAAATTGACAATAATTAACATTGCAGCTTTCCAATGTGCCAAATTTCCATTTCTATTTCAAATCTTTCGCATACCTGTGCACGTCCATCGATTAGTACCGAAACCGGGATCGTCGTAAATCTAGGTAAAATTTTTGCACGACTTCGTAATATTCGTCGTTGCAATAGCATTTCCCATTCTTGTTTCTGATCTTCTGTTCTATAGATTCATCAAAAAGTTTTCATACACTCAAATATTTCCATATGTATTTCTTTTCTTTCTTTCTTATTGTAATTTTTTCCTTTTGAAAATTGAAAAATTTAAGAATTCAGAAAAACGGATTTTATTAAATTTTTTTGATTAAAATTATTTCAATTATTACTTTTAAAATTCTTTCAAATTTTATACACAATAATTATTATTTTGATTAAGAAAAATAATTAAGAAAAAACAATGAAAAAAAAGTTTTAAGCGTAATTAAAAAAATTCAGAAATTTTCATTTTAAGAAATCCATACGTAAAGTCTTCGTAAAGTTTTTTTGTTTTAAAAAAGAAATTTGTACAATGGATTTTCTTCATTTCCTTTTGTTCACAGACAAACAATAGCTGTCAGATTATCGAAATTGTTCACAGAATTGGCGCAAAAATGCAATTTATCTTAATGATGTAATTTCATGACCGATATATACAGATTAGACTGTTGGTAATGTGGAAATGAATAATTGAAAATAACGTAATTTGTCAACTATCTTTGTTACTACTTATTAGCAGCAAAAAAGTTGAAATTGTGCTAATTCAATTTTAAATTAATTATGTAAATTTATTCACCGGAAATTAGAATTGCAGTTGAAGGAATGATGATAGAAGAGATAATATTATAATCTTTATCAAACTAAAGAATTAAAACTATGAAAAACTAAAGACAAATTTCTAAACAGAAATTGCTGAGAAAAGAAATAATTAAAGAAGAATAAAACCGGAAAAAAATGAAAGAAACCGGATTAAAAGAAGATATAAGATTGTAAAATAAAATAAATAAATAATTATATTAATTATGATTAATAAGAAAAAAGAGGAAGAAAAACTAACGCAAAATGAGCTATGAAATTATAAATTGGCCATCCGATGAGAAAAGAATGTGGACAATCATTTGACACTAACCAAATTCGATCCAAACGAATTTTCTCCTTCAATTTATAACTATTCGTTGCTCTATAAAAATACGTATCGAATAACTAAACATATAATAATTATTAGTACAATTAACAATTATTTATAATAATTATTAGTACAATTAACAACTACATTCATGCACAATTATCAACTATATAAAATTTTTTGGCAAATGATACATCTCATCCGTACCGTATCAACAAACAATTAAAAACACAATTAAACTGTTTGACTATTTTAACTCTTAAAATGTTGCCAGCGATTCTTAATTATACTAATAATATCTTATTAGTAAACAATTATATATTTTTAATTATACCCTGACAGCCAATATTTCTGTCTATAAGCCAATATTTTCAATCTTTTAATGCAATTTTTTTTTAATACTGTGCATTGTTTCCACACTAATCAAAGATGATTTGAATCGCTGTCACTAATGCTATCCGAAATTGATATGCAAAATTTGAAATTTAAATGCATGAAATTTCACTAAATATAAATTATTCTTACATCTAATATATATTAATAATTAAAACTTCACTTTTTATTTGAAAATTGCAAATATTTGACCCATCCCTATATCATTGAACATTATTTGATTTCATTGAAACTTTGAGATTTGTATTATTGTGTTGTTGTTGATATTGCTGTTATATGTTGGCATTTGATGCTATACCTGATGACAGGTATGGTAGACTCACTAAGCGAACTAACACATATTTGGGTCGTTAACGTACAGGGTGATTGTCAAGTAAGATTAAAATAGATGGATGCAGCGGGTTATGATGAACCCCCCGACTCCGCTACCCCATCATTCACCCTTTTCGTTGCAACTATCGCATCTGTCTCATCATCACTCACCAAAATTCATTCTTTCATTTCATTATTATATTATATATATAGATAGGATAGATATATATGTTTAATATATCAACCAATTATGATCAATGGATTATCTCATCCGGCTAAAATAAAGCCAAATCACACTTATCAAACAAAAGATCAAAATTAAAATTTCAAATTTGATTTCTTCTAATTTATCACTTTCAACACTACTTTCGACATGTTACAATATCACTATCATTTATCAGCAGCTCTAAAGCTAAAGATGAAAAGAAATTTTAAAGTGAAAAATAGAAGGCGTCTTAATGACGCTAAAAACTTCGAAAGATTGACATTCAAAATCAATTGATGATTGTAATTTGGTAAAAATAAAAAATTTGTAAATTGACATTCGATTGTCGAATTTTTTAGAAAAAGGAAAAGATCATTAAAATGATTGTGCTGCGCTATCAATACGGTAGGTAGGGTAGATAGGTAGGTACACTGAACTATTCTCTGATATTTATCATCTATCTATCCTTCTATCAATACATATCACAACTATACTATTTCATATAATTACTCATTGATTTACTCTTTATTCATTTAATCATTTTCAAAAATAATAATTTTTTAAAACTAATCAATTCGTAAAATATCAAAAGGAAATGATGAAAGCAAAAAGGAAAAAAATAATTCGAATGAAATGAATGAATTCGCCGAATTGATGAAAAAATGATGAAACACCGCGGTGATAATATTTGAGGCATTGTATTGTTGAATTTATTGTTTATCCCATAAAAGATATTTGTTTTAAAGTAATTTAAAAAAAAAGTATCATAAAAGATATTTATTTTAATGTAATCTTTTGTTTTTGGAAATGAAAAAAAGAATTTTATTGAAATTTTAAAAAAGAATTTAAATTATAATTTTTAGTTTTTCTTAAAAGAAAAGTTCGCTTTATTTTTTATAAGTAATTAATTATATTTTTTCTTTTGTTTTATTTGTAATTTTTTCATTAAATTTTTATTTCATTTTACATTTTTTATTTGAAAAAAATTTTTCACATTTCGTTTAAATGAAAAATTCGATGAAATTTTATAAAAAGAAAAATTAGAATAATAATTTAAGTACATTAAAATATATTACATTGTATTATAAATTCTCTAAAAGAAAATGAAATATTCTCAAAAAATTGTAACTTTTTTCACTAAAATTTGATTTGAATTAATATTAACTCATATCATACAACAATGTAGTAATTTCAACATTCATTTTCTCATAATATACAATATTGTAGTAATTTCAATATCTATCAATGATATCCTACGGAATACCTTTTATTAATGATATCCGATTTATCGATTGATTCAATTGATCTTCTCATTTTTTTTTGAATAATTTCTGATAAATAATTGATTAAATAACAAACAAATTGAAATATAACATACTTTTGTTTGGCAATAAGAAGAAGATCCGAGAAGAGGAAGAAATATCGGGAAGATGTGAGTAGTGAATCTAAAGCTGTCAATTGTACAGCACCTTCCTTAATATATGCTCGTTTCATATCAATTCCAATAAAATGGCATTCATTTGGCTGAAAATATTTATTCAGTAAAGAATTGCATAAATTATGGAAATAATATTTAATTTGTAAGCGGAAAAAAATAAAATTAAATAACAATTTATCATTAAAACTATTCTGAAAGATAACATTGAACAAATTGACAAATTTAATAATGAATTTAAAAAAAGAAAATAATTCAGTTTTTCATTGTTCATTTTATAAGAGATCTAAAAAAAGAATATATATATCCTAAAACTAATCAATAAAAAAAGAAATGAAATATTATAGTATCGAAATTCTAATCATTTCCTAATATCATTGATTATTTTGCCAAATATTGATAGTTAATAATTGCTAGTTTATGTTCACAAACTTTATTAAATAATAATGGAAAATATGAAATAACAGAATTGTTATAAATAAATGTTAGAAGAATTAGGCTTTCATTGAATGATATGAAAAAGATAGGCCTATTATTTTAATCATTCTTTGCTATCACTTTTATTCATCCATAAAATCGCGTTTCATTCATTCAATCTACTTGACAAAATGTAAAATGATGAAATCTCTCTCTACTGATCGTTCAAAAAATAAACAATGTATGTATGTGTGTGTGTGTGTATCTGTCTGTTGAAGAAAAGAATGAAATAGTGTTGAAATCGAAAGGTACACCCAAACGATACGATAACAACTACCATAAATCTTTTCATTGTTATTGTAATTAAATATTTGAATAAAATATACACATATTTCTTTGCAAACACAAAAAATAATCCTTCTATCCATGAAAATGAATAAAAGATAAACAAATAATTTCATCTATAATTTATTTCAAATTTAATTTTCAAAAAAAATTTTTTACTTAAATTCAACAAATTTTATCAGTAATGATAAATTGCTTCAATTCAATTTAAAGAAATCAATGATATGCAACGATAATATGAAAATTAATTATTACTTCTTTTATCTTCATATAAATTCAATCTTTTTATTAATTCTTATGAATAGTATGAACTTACTGCAATTTAGATATATTAATAAATCCTACTAAATTCTCATCGTTTTAATTGCATTTCTCAATGATAATTGAATCTCTCGTATCAATCATTAATAATTTGACCCCGGGATTAATATGGGAAAAGATAGTTCAATGTGTCATATAATTCATCGTGCACTGATCAAGAAGAAGAATATTGAAGTAAATTAAGCTAATGAAAATATTATCACGTATTGGTTGAAATTTAAATGTTTAGAAATTATTTGACGGCTTGTTGATCAATAAATCAAATTAATGGATGGAATCGTAATTCTTGTTCCGAAATGATAATCCAATCATATATTCGAATGTTTAGTTGATGAGAAAGCATGGCTACTATAAAAAACTACAAGGAGTAAGTCTTAATTTCTTAATTAACGCTAATTACTGGGAATAAGAAATTAATATTGATTAATTGGAATCAAATAATAAAATTTTATGCAATTGGCAAAATTTGTTGAAACACTATAAATTATTATCGAATAAATTTTAAACAACATTTTATAACATATCCTTCCTCGCCTCCCTTCTGTATATGCTGAAAACCTTTCCTGCGCTTTTACGATTTGCTGTTATTTCTAGTATTCTGAGCACACACTGTCTTGGTCAATTAATCCAGAAATATTTTCCGTTTC